ATGCTTAATGAGGTTTTAGTTACAGTTATTTAAAGCCGATAAGATTTTCGATAAGTAGAAACAATAACCATAACATTTAAATGTTTATTTTATTTTGTACAGCTCTTTGTTTCTAACGGATCTTGATAAAGTGTACTTACTGACGATAAATTTCATTTTATGATGAAATATCGTAAGTTTTTATTTTATTTTTATGTCCTTACAATCAATACAACATATCCTTCCTAAATGAACCGAAATTATGCATGTAATAATTATAATAATTCTACTTTTTCAATTGCAAACATTTGCTAAAAATTCGACAATAGACAGTTTGCGCGCGCTTTGTAAACTCATTTTCAAAACCTTTTTGTGTATATATTTTATATCGTCTTCCTTTATTTTTCTTATACAATCATATAGATATAACATTTAGCAATTACTAGTAAAAGTATTTACTATGGTATTCCAATAAGAAATATACTATTATTATCTTATTAGAATCGTATTAGAAATCTTGACCGTTACGAATTGTTCGCGTAGAGGTTTTTTATTTCTACTTTTTTATCAATTGAAACATAAAAAGTTACTGTTGTTGTAACTTAAATCATTCAAAAACATTACGTAGTAGATAAATAACATTACTTACAGTTTTTTTGAAAGAAAATCCAACTAAAATCACAATCACAAAACTTCAACGATTACGCAACTAACCGCACCGGCACCCAAAAGCGAATGGCTGTTATATTTGATGATGTCTATGTAACCGAGTGAATATAATGCTTCAGAATATTCTTTAGTTCGTTCAAAATCGAATGAAATAGTGTTCAATCGAAAATATACTGTATTTTTATATCAATTAATGACGAAAATAGCAGCACGTAATGCGGACATGTATACATGTCCTCTGTACTCAGCGGTCACAAAACTTGGACATGTCAACATGTCCACGGTACCTTAGGGGGTATTAGCTATTTTTCCCAATATAGAGCCAAAGTAGGTCAAACTGCTCACATATCGACGAACACTTTAAGTTGAATCGCGTACAGAGAATTGCGAAAGACGTGCCTTTGTTTGTTTTTAATTAGATTGTTAATGAGATTTTTTTAAAACCGTTACAAGACAGCAATTCCATTAATTTACATTACACTATTTTAATTCATTTTCAATACTTAACGGGCCAGTGAACAGATGATTAATGTAACAATAAAAAGTGTCTAATTTATGTCGCCATGGATGACATGATGACGCAGGGTCGACCGTGTCGGTATGAGTTGGCTTTCGACAAATTTGGAAAACATGTAACGACTCTTTTCTTGTTATTGTTAAGTCGAGAAAATTAGGAAACAATCTTGTTCCAATTCAAGCTTAAATTTAATTTTGTCGTGGACTCTATTTATTTCAATAAGGAAAACATCCAGTTGTCTCTTTGTGTCAGTCCAGCAAATAATTATGTCGTCTACATATCGATAATAGTAAATTTTGATTGAGAACTATATGTTGTTTTTTGAAATTATCCATGAAAATGTTCGCCATAAGTGGACTTAGAGGGGCCCCATAGCTAACCCTCCCTTTTTGCAAATAGAGATAGTTATTAAACCGGAAACAGTTTTGTTTCATACAGACAGAGTTTAAGTTATTTGTTTCCACGGAATGTTGACGACATTTACCAAAGATCTGAGAGTATACGCAAACATTCAGGGGATGCGACATTTGTGAAAAGACTATCAACGAGTAAAGATAACAACATACATTTAAGAGGAATACGAATACCCTTAATTTTGGAAATGAGATCTAAACTATTATTAAGACTAGGTTGGGTTAAATCCAGATTTCTCTCGAAGGAGGAAGTTTAATTTTTAGCAAGGAAACAAGCTGGTGCACTTATATATGAGACAACTGGAAGAATAGGATTGTGTATTTTAGGTAAATCATATAAAATAAAGGGTGCTTGAAGATTCATTGGAACAAGACTGCTCCGAGATAAGTTGTGATCGGGAAAGACATATGACTGTTGTATACGTACTATAATATCCGAAGTAAACCTTTTTGTTGGGTCCAACTCCAATAGCTAAAAGACATCACCTTGGATAACATCGTTAACCTTCTGGCTGTACCCGCTATTCTCCATAATGACAAATATCCAGTATTGCCCTTGTCGGCTTTAGTAAACATGAGGTTATTCTCTGCTTTCGTGACATAAAAACGGGGAACTCAGAATCGCAATGAGATTTTTAGCTACAGAACTTTTAAAGGTGTCTCTTTCTTCCGATCAAGACTTTTAGTTACTGTTTTTACAGCTTTCAGTGTCGAAACAACGAAAGCTCCAATACATTCGCTTGCTGCTAAGGCCACCCTTTGTGAATATTTAAATATACTAATAGGGCCTGCGCTCACAGACTGCACACGCCTGGGCCTGCGCCTATAATGTCATATATTTTTCTTCGATCTCGACTGCCTCGTTGGTCTAGAGGTTGTAGTAGTGCGACTGTTGATCATGAGGTCCTGGGGTCGAATCCCGGGTCGGGCCAAAATCAGTTATTGAGTTTTTCTGTTGAGAAATTCTCAGTAGCTGCCCGGAGTCAGGAAGTAGGCGGTGTCTCACCCCCATGCCTCGGAAAGCACGTAAAACCATTTGTGCTGCGCCTGATCTCTCTCCCGGTCGTATCGGTTTACCGTCCCACGGGACTATGAGAGTGAGGGAATAGAGTGCACCTGTGCTTGCGCTTACACTTGGGCACTATAATCCTGTCCTGCGTCGATGGCTAGCCTCCGTTGAGGCAGGCCGCCATATCGAAATTCGGTCTGGAGGACATTATTATATTTATCTACACATTTGCATGCATTTATTTGTAGATGAAAGAGGGAAGATTAAAAAGTCAAGATCGAACCAAGTTTTTATTGCGTCTTTATCATACCGAATGTGCGCTTTGTTTATTTGCTAATTTCTAAACATGTCTCCTGTGTTTGTGATAAAGGCGTCATAAAATCACAAAATTTTACGAAAAGAAATCTCTATGTATAATTACTTTTTATAAACACTACAAAACGTTATTGGGCTGATTAATACAACATTTTTATAACAGATATTATCATTATTACTAATCATAACTCATAAATTAATAACACATTTTCATAATACTTGCATCATATAATATGAGCATCGATCAGCGCGAACTCTCTTATCATTGACAGCTTAATGTCCATTTCGTTCCAACGTAATATAGGTACTTATATCAATGATTATAAACAGTTTCTAAAAATAATGTTATGTTTATGCTCCTCGCGAGCATTATAGTAGTTATTGTCCAGTTGATACATTTTTTTAAAAGTACTGAGCTTTATTTACTAACAGAAGATTCCTGCATCATCATGATATATAGACCTGAGTCCGATATTATTTAAGCGTTGTAATTGTTTACGAATATTAAAGAATTTTATAATGAAGTCTACTAATTCACATCGACAATATTAGAAAGTAGCTATACTTTAGAACCGTTCAAAGTAATATAACTAATATATTAATATTAAGCCCGTGTAAATTTTATGTTTTATTTGATAGTTCTGGGGCAAAACGTGTTTGTATTTTAACGTCAAATGCATGTTTTGATATTAATGATAATCAATGATAATTGAATATATAAACAGAAGAACCATAACAATTCGAGTGAAGAAGCCTTCAATCAGTCCCTTTCAAATATATCAAGACAACTGAAAATGATTTTAAGACTCCATTGTTGGAAAGAAATCGACATATTGCTAATAATTACAAAGAAACAGGCACGGAAAGTACAGTCTCTACGAAACGCAAATTGGGATTGTGAAATCGTCAATACGCAGTGTGTAGTCGCAAATATCACGCTGTAACCACTTCGCCTGTACATATAACTTAAAAGCGTTTGAAGCGTGTATAAAGGGCTCACTTCTCACTTTCGGAGTTCTATGACACGCATTGAATACCCAAAATTATCCAAATACAACGATACAACTCTTTTCGTTCTCGTATAAAAGTACATCAGTACATTTTACATAGTAGTAATACAAGTAGTATTATACATACACAGTAATAATAAAAATACATATTAGAAAAATACGCGATTTACAGATACACCATCAAACAAAACTGTGCGGAGTTACGTTTGTACAATACATATAAATAAGAATTATTGGCATTGGCATAAAAGAATTTGTTATGAAGGCTGTAATATATTAATGATTAAGGGGATATTTTAACATTTATTACCGACTGTAAATTCATAATTACCAATTATGAATTACAAAAAATATTACAACTGTAACTGAAAATTATTGTAAAGTGAAAGAGCAGGTAAGAAGTCATAATGACAAAAATATTATAAATAGGAATATCTAAAACTCCTTTAATCTTCTCATAGCAATGAAAAAATAGTATAAGTCTGCATATCTGTGTTCATAAGAAGTGTTTGACTCACGATCAAATACTTTTCATGTTTATACTATTTCACAACCGTTAAGACAATAAAATTTGTTAAAACATTTTATACACCAGGTAAATCTTAAAATTTCTAGGGGCATTACAATCACATGCATAATATTTAAGAAATATTTACTTCTGAATGTAAAGTATTAAAAGCTGATAAAAACATTTTATTTGCCGGTTATTAGTTATATAATAATATTCGCAAACTTACAGTGCTATAGTTTCAAACATACAGTAAAAACATTTTTTTATCATAAAGTATCAAATTATATAAATCCTTACTACAACATCAAAAAGTTTTAAGGTACAAAGTTATAAGCACTAGTAAAGAGTTTCTAAATCTGTAAAGGTATCTTTTATTAAAAATGTTTTATTTGTATTTATATTTTTAAAAGGCGTTATACATAGCACATTTAGGTATATTACTTAATGAAAGAGAAGTATCAAAATAACAAATTCTGCTACAAATGTTACACCCGAACGCGCTTAACTCGTGAGGTATAACTTTAAAAAATTCATTCTTAACCTAAATCCTACATTCCTGCAGGGAATCACTTTCGCTTTAATGATCTTGACAGTCAAGTTCCCCATTTGCTTCTGAAGTGTCGTCTAGTTGTTCCTGAAGCTCGTCAGCCTTGTCGACATCCTTTGCGGCAGCGCTGGAGCTTTCATCTTTCTCTTCAATGGAAGCGTGCTCATTACGAAGACTTGCTCCTTCGCACTCGCCGGTTGGGCGCAGTACGATATACATCAGTAGATCCGATAACGATATTATGCCTATCACTTTGTCTTCCTCATCCACTACAACCAAACGATGTACCTACACATAACAAAAAGGAACATGAAACATAATTGTAATTTAGGCACAGTAGTCTTACACGTATTATATACAAACTATATTCTTTTACAAACTCCAGGATTCGTTCTACCATATTGTTTTAGGCCTACTATTAAATCCTTAGCAATTCATATCGCGAATTCCCGCTACGGTCCCTCATTGCTCGTATACACATGGATTTTATTCTGTAAATACTTGTTATGTAAATAAAACATTATCTAGTACAAAACTTTAAGCTCGTTTGTCGCTTTAGTTTTATAAAAAGATACTTTGCTGTAAAAGTAATGGAATAATTAGTTCCCGAATCAAATCGACCTTTGCTCATCGAGTTTCCTAATAAAATAAATATTTTATAAATTGTTGTTACTGTCAGGCCATTGTCAAACACTTAATAGTCTATGACCACAATCGCACAGAATAGAGATTCAAATCAATTTGTAATAACGGACGCGCTTTATCGCTGCGGCGAAAGTATTCGGTAATTTCAACAAGGCACACTGTACACTACACACACAGCAGTGTTCAATTTTTACAAGTAAAAAATAAAGTATTTTCATTATATCCATACGAGACATTCGGCATGTTTTTTTTTTTATTAAGATTCATTATTTATTTAAACTTGAAGTTTTTGTGAAGTACGTACATCATTTAGTTAATGTTATAAAAACTAATATGTCTTTGCATCATTCAAAGTTAGTTTTAATAAATACCACAATCAGGCGAACTTCAGAACATTGTAAATATTTCATCATCATCATCATCATCATCATTATTACAGCCTTCCACAAGTCCACTGCTGAACATAGGCCTCCCTCAAGGTAAGCCACAAAGCACGGTCCTGAGCCACCTGAATCCATCGACTTCCTGCATGTCTTACCAGTTCATCACTCCATTTATTGGGGGTCACCCTACATTTCGCCTACCAATACGAGGCTGCCACTCGAGAACCTTTTTTCTCCAACGGTTGTCGGTTGTTCGAGCTACATGACCGGCCCATTGCCATTTCAGCTTACTATTCCGATGGGCTACGTCGGTCACTCTGGTTCTACTGCGGGTATCCTCATTTCTAAGTTTATCACGCAGAGAAACCCCGAGCATAGCACTCACCATAAATCGCTGAGCGACTTTGGGCGTCCTCATATGGCCAACTGTGAAGGACCACGTCTCAGTTCCGTAGGTCATCACTGGCAACACGCACTAGTTGTACAATCTAGTTTTCAGAGTTTGAGGAATACCTGACGAGAAGATGTGTTGTAATTTCCCGAACGCTGCCCAGCCGAGTTGAATCCGTCGATTGACCTCTCGGTCGAAGTTGGACTTACCTAGTCGGACTATTTGTCCCAAGAAAACATACTCGTCAACAACTTCGAGCTTATCGCTCCCAACAACTACCGGCATAGGTGTGACATGGACATTAAACATAATCTTTGTTTTGTCCATGTTCATCTTAAGACCTATCCCTTGGGAGACACCATTGAGGTCATTGAGCATAGTGCTTAGGTCCTCTAGCGATTCTGCCATAAAGACTATATCGTCGGAAAATCGAAGGTGAATGATGTACTCGCCGTTGATTTTAATACCGTATCCTTTCCAGTCCAGCAGCTTGAAAACGTCTTCAATGCAGCGGTGAAGAGTTTCGGCGATATAACGTCACCCTTTCTTACACCTCTCTGCAGTTGGACAGGTTTCGTACTCTGGTTATGTACTCGGATAGCCATCATAGCCCTACTTGTACAAATACTTCAGCACTTCGATATACCGACAGTCAACTTGGCACCGCTGAAGGGACTGTAGCACCGCCCAATTTCGACGGAATCAAAGACTTTCTCAAACTCCACCTATGCCAGGCAATGTGGCAGATTGTACTCTTCGGACTTCTGTACAATTTTCCGAAGGGTATGTATGTGATCTATGGTGCTGGCTGCCTTTTCGGAAACCAGCTTGTTTAGGAGGCTGGAAGTAGTCCAGTCTGCGTGAGAGACGATTCGTAATCCCGACAACAGCATGAAGACGCGGCACAGAAGGGATATCGGCCTGTAGTTCTTCAAGAGAGCGTTGTCACCTTTCTTGAAGAAGAAGACCACCGCACTTCTGCTCCACGCCTCAGGAGTAGTGCCACCATGGAGGACGGAATTAAAGAGCTTCTGAAGTACCGGTTTTCCACCCGCTTTCATAAGCTCCGCTGTAATTCCATCCTCGTCTGGGGCCTTGCCGTTTTTAAGGTGCTGGAGATATCATCGGAATAGTGTCGGATAAGACTTGCTCTTGGATCGCTACTCACACTTGCATGTGGCTCCGACGAAGACGTGTACAGCTGTCCATAGAACCTCTCAATCTCACTCAAAACCTCAGGTATCCCGGAGATGATGCTGCCAAACTAGGTCTTTAGCTTCGACAGTTGGCTCTTTTTGACAGACAGATCCCTGGCAAAGACTTTAGGGCCTTGGTTAAGGTCGATCGCTTCTTCAATACGAGTTGTACTGATGTTCCGTAAGTCCCGCCGCATGTATTTGGAGATCTGTCTGTTCAGTTGCCTGTATGCTGACAATTCTGCTAAAGACTGCAGCTTCATTTCTCGTTTAACAGCCATTAGATCAAGAGTGTGATCGGAGAGTTTTTGTGTTCTTCTGCGGCGGGTCTTGCAGAACTTAGTTCCGATCGCATGGACAGTTTCCACGAGCTTGTCATTCATACCGTCCGCTGCATTGCAATCTTCAAGGCACTGAGAACGGTTTTGTAACTCGAGCTGATAAGTTTCGGGACTCTGGATCAGAGCACGAGGGGGACGGAGCGTTGACTTCATTAGACGAGATCTCTCCAACTTAACGTTTAGCTTCAGTGTGCCTTAAACCATTCGCTGCCAGTTTTCACCCTCACGATCACTAATACGTCACTGAACAGTAGGCGTCTGGCCGTCATAATGAAGTCAATCTCATTTTTTGTCGAACCATCGGGGCTCGACCAGGTCCACTTCCTGTGGGGCCGCTTCTGGCAGAAAGAGTTCATCATAAAGAGTCCCTCTTTCTCCATGAAGTCATCCAGCTGCAGGCGCCTTGGGTTCCGTTGCCCTATTCCAAATTTCCCTAACTTCAGCTCACCACTGTCTCTTGTGTCTAGCCTTGCGTTGAAGCCTCCCATCAACAGCGTATAGCGTTTTGGAGGAATGCATGGCTCTAGAAATATCCTCACACATTTCCTCCACCTCCTCATCGGGATGTGCCGAAGTTAATGCGTAAACCTGTATGACCTTTGTAGCAGCGCTGTCGTCACCGCCACAAGCGAAAACACACCGAAGCCTAAATCGCGCAATCAACATTCCGAATCATAAACAGTATATATAGAACATCTCCGAACTATCACACGGAGTGTTGGCCGCTCCCTGGGCAGAACACCTTGCCCGGCGGGAGATCTCCCATTTTCCTTCCACGGCCACAGTGGTGACCCCGACGTGAATCGTCACACACCTTCTTCCTTAGAAGTGAGGATATCTCTAATCTTTAAAACGTTGTTGACGAGAGAATTGTGGACGATAAATCCGACACCTCCTTGGGATAGATGGTCGCCCTTCCGGTGATATAACAAGTTGCGGGATTCGAAGATTACCGTGTCCTCTCCTTCTCTTCGGAACTCTGATAATCTTAATATATGCCAGCGCAACTTGTCTACCTCTTCTTCCAGCTTCAGTATCTTCTTGTCAGTCCTCAGGGTGCATGCGTTATATGTTGCCAGGCCGAGTCGCCGTAGGTGGCAACCGAACCTCCATTGGAGATTCTTAGCACCCCCTGCCCCGCCGTTACCATGGTCGCCACCGTAGCCAAGAATAGCGGGGCCGCCGGGGCCTGGGAGCAGTTTGTTTGTGTCGTTGCTCATGGGGGGATGTTTGCCACAGTTGCCACGCTTGGCGAGCGGGTTGGCAATCGAAGATTTTAGTGTATAGTTGTTATCAGGAAGATGCTGCTGCCCATCTGCCTGCCTTCCTCTGTCGCCTCTCACGATATCCACGGGAAGATATGGGGTAGTGGATATTTTCAACCGCCACTACACGGCTGTAAACATTTATATTTTTATAATTAATAAAAACCGCCCATAGAGATGGGTGCGGGCTCCTGATAGTTTTCAATCTTTATCACATCTCGCTGGCCTTGTTAAGCATAGACAAAAATAAAACATACACAAAACATATAAATTACCTCAGCTCTCACTATCCTTTCCATGACTTCGTAGAGGGTTTCATCAAGATTACATTTTTGAACGCCCTCGAACCATTCGTTTCGATGTTCGTTGGCTTTCTTTAACGATACGTCCAGGTTGTTATATGTTTTTTCCGCAGCCAAATTCTAAAAAAATAAAAATACAAGTGATAATTTAAGAACTTCCACGAAAATACAAACTAAAAAGAAAATGTCAAAGTAAGAAACAACCAATTAAGCGGATGTAGTAAGTCAGCTCAAATTCTAATTTCGTCCCCACTTGCCCGAGCGTCGTATGCTACGTACCGACATGATTGTAATCACTAATACTGTAAGTAGATAGGTCGTTAGACACTTTTTTCATTAGGTTTATCATATTTATGCCTGTTTCTTAACGCCAAGCCAGTCGCTTCTTATTTTTATTACGGTTATTTCCCATTTTAATTTTACGTCGTTCTGTTGCGTAATGTGTATTCTGATCGTAAGCGACACAACCTCCCACTTCAAAGGCCGAAGCGAAGTGACGGGGCGGCAGGAATCACGCTTCAAGAGGCCGATAGTTTAGGTAATTTCTTTTTACAGTGAAAATAATGGTATTTTAAAAAGTAAATAACATAAGCACTGCTTTATAGTTAGTTCAGTTAGTATGCAAAGTTTCATGATCTTATTTAAAGTACTTATTTTATGAATAACAGCGGTTTATTGTTTATTTTGGAGGTAACTTTGGATTTTTCTTCCATCGAGAAAATTTTACGAAATCGTGTTTTCGTCTAACATAATCCTTAACATTAATCCTCGACTTTACCATATATTTATTTCAAAATTAATAATGCAATATTTTCAGCATAACGAAGGCTCTTGCTAAGTCATTTGAGATTATATTTCCCCCTTAAACAATTGTTATAAAAACAATAAGATGTTATTTGAACCGATAATTAAGCAAAAAGTGTTGAGAAAATGTTAGTGATGACCGCCTTCATAAAAGGAATTACGGGAAGAAACCCGCAGTACACGACCTTCAAAAGTTAGAGGTGAAACCACATAACAACTAATACCGAATGATTATACTCGGAACGAAGATGTGAATCTTGAACACCTCAAAACAAAGAAAATTTAGTTTTAAGATACACACGGGTGTGCGAAGATCAAATACAATGTCAAAGTGAGACCATAGTATCACGAGCAATCTACAATATGGACAAGGATTTGAAGTCAAATATTAGGGAAAAAATAAACCAATAAAACATGATTGGAGGAACAGAATTGATGTCATATTTACGCAAAATTTCATTGGTGTAGCACATTATTGCCTAGCATTTTGATGGATTAACAAAAATAGAAGCCTATTAGAACCGTTAAGGATATTATTTGCCAGGTCATGGTTTAAGAATCGTTTTATAGAACCAGCATGTTAATGATCAACCCTTGGGTTTGAAGTAATCACCAATATGCTGGTTCTATTAAAATTCATTTAAAAATTGTACTAAAAAAGGTGGGTTTCTTGCTGTTTCTTCCCAGGTATTTTCCGAACAGTGGTAAAAATGACTTTCAATAAGTAAAAAGTAAAGTAAAGTTACAGCCTATATACGTCCCACAGCTGGGCACAGGCCTCCTCTCATTTCTGAGAGGGTTTTAGGGCAAGGAAATGTCCGCCGCGCTGCCCCAGTGCGTGTTGGCTAACTTCACACCGGCGAGCACGTGGTACATCAGTACTTAAAATTGCAATTAACAATTTCATTGGTGCCGGCGGGGAGCGAACCCGGTTTGCTTGCGTATTGCGAAAATTACAGCGAGCGCTAACCATCTGAGCTACCACGGCCCTCTGAGCTACCACGGCCCTGACTTTCAATAAGTATTACGTAATAATCTATATTGAATAAAAATTATTCTATTCTATTTTATTAATAAACAATCATTAAAAATTGCTGATCTCTACAAGAGTCAATTTAAATTACGTAATATTATTAAAATATTTTTTGTAGATTTATTCTAACCCGGTATGTAAAATAAATTCAGATCAGGCGCAACCATAGCTTCAACGACCGCCGTCTCCCGAGTTTTGGGGCTCGTTGAAGGTCGTGGCGGATTTTTAGACTGAAAGCCATCGTAAGTATTAGTTTGTTAAGAGTGTTAGGGTCTATATTCGTATGGCAAGTGACTCGGAAAAAGAAACTACGTGTTTATGTTATGACCGTTTACTTGAGACTAAAATTAACGAAATGCACACTATGCAGTTAATGTCACCTTTGCGACCTTGACAAGTTTTAAATTTAATAACTAGTCTTGCCATAAATATTGTTACATAAAAACTTTTCTTTTTTTTTCAACTTTTTAATTATTTTGAATTTGGAACGCGTTCATTATTTTTAATATATTTCCATTTCACATATTTTTTCGTGTTCATTATCAAATTACAATATGGAATGGGGTGTTATAGAAAATATGATTGCGGTGATCGCCTTGCACAAATTGGGTATGGAGCCGTCGATCATATTCCAGACACTTCAAAAACTTGGTATCAGCCGGATGTTCGTATATCGTACTATCAACACATACAACAACACTTCCTCTATCGAATACTATAAAAGATCGGGGCGGCCGCATGCTGTTAGAACTACAAAGACTGTTAATGCTGTTAAAGCCAGAATTCGTCGAAATCCCATTAGGAAGCAAAAAATCTTATCGCGAGAAATGAAGATTCCTTGGTGCTTATCGTCGATATACAGGACATGCCCTAAATCAATCTTTACAATTAAAGAGAGTGGATCGATTAAAACGCCTTCTGTCGCGATACGCAGGTGAAGGGCACAGAAATATCCTCTTTACCGATGAAAAAATTTTCACGATTAAAGAGCACTACAATAAACAAAATGATAAAGTATACGCTCATAGTTCTTAAGAAGCTGCTCAAGTGGTCAGAAAGGTACAACGTGGTCATCATCCTGCGTCAGTGATGGTTTGGTGAGGCGTGTCTTATCAAGGCGTCACAAAGCTACATTTTTGTGAAAAAGGAGTGAAAACTTCAGCCAAAGTGCATCAAAATACAGTCTTCGATCGTGTTGTGAAACCTCTCAGCAATACACTTTTTAAAAATGTACCGTGGACTTTCCAGCAGGACTCTGCACCTGGTCACAAGGCACGAACTAACCAAGCCTGGCTTGAAACCAACGCTCCGGACTTTATAAGAGCTGAAGACTGACCCTCATCTAGCCCAGACCACAATCCTTTAGACTACAAATTACGGTCAGTTTTAGAGGACATGACTTGCTCTAAACGACACGGCGACATTGAGTCTCTTAAAAAATCTCTGGATCAAGCCTCAAGATCCATAGATTCGTGACCAGACAGATTAAAGGCCTGTATAAAAGACGAAAGTGCCCATTTTGAATAGAATATTGTTTGGGGGATGAGTCGCTCGCGTCCGTAGGCTTCGACCACCTAACCTTAGGCCCACCATACACGTGTCCCCCGGGTGGTGCTAAACGAGCGACAAAGCCGAAAAAATAGACTCGGCTCCTCGCCGTATGGTAGCGGCGTAAAATCTACCACCACCCCTTGTTCACACCATGACTCAGAAAACAAAAGAAATGGCCCCGAGTTCGGCGCCCCTTCAATGGGGCAGGGGTGCGAACAATCTCCGGGAGAAAAACCGGCGTCGAGGTTCGCCACCCGTCACGTTCTGTCTCCCGGAGGGGCGAAAAGTGGATTGCGGAAACCCGTCTGGCTACGCTGAATGTATGTGAAGGAATGAATGATAAGATGGATGAAGTATGCGAAATGATGAATGACAGAGGAATAGATGTTATGTGTGAGTGAGACGAAACGAAAGGGAAAGTATGCCACTGCACATGGCACGTATACCGCGTATTGGTCTGGCGTAGACGAGACCGAACGGGCATGCCAGGGTGTCGGTTTCATCCTTTCAGAAAGAATGGGTCAATGTGTGAAAGAGTATGAATGTGTAAGCCCGAGGCTGCTATGGATACGAATTAAAGTGGGCTTAAAGAAGCTGTTCCTGCTAGGGGTGTACGCCCCCTAAGCCCACTTACATCCGAGAGCAGTTTTGGGACATGGTAAGGATGGTGTTGACAAAATGTAAGGAAAATGAAAATATTATTATGTTAGGAGACTTTAATGGAAGGGTTGGGGTGAAGAGGTCTGGTTATGAAAGGATATTGGGAATATTTGGTGATGAAAGTATAAATGAGAATGGTGAAGACCTCCTCACCGTATGTGTGGAAAAGAATCTCTTTGTGATGAATACTTTTTTCGTCATAAGAAGATTCACATGTATACATGGGAAAGAGATGATGATAGAAGCATGATAGATTTCGTAATTGTGGATGAAAGAATGAGGAGCGCAGTCGTAGATTCAAGGGTTTACCGGGGGTCCAACATAGGGACAGATCATTACTTGGTCTTATGTAGAATTAATGGTCTTTTCAAGCGTTGGCGGCATCGGACATCTGTGTCTACCACTGCGTTACAGCGTATAAGAATAGAGAAGTTACAAGATGAAGATGTGAAAGAGAAGTATAAATGCAGACTGAGAGGAAATATTAGGTGTTTGAATGAGTTGTGTATGAATGATTTAGACTTGAATACTGTGTGGGATAATATTAAGAAAGGTTTGGTGGATGCCGCCACCGAAGTATGTGGTGTAAGTAAGAGAACAAATGAAAGGAAAAGTAATACATTGTGGTGGGATGATGAGGTACGGGTGGAAGTTGAATCAAAGAAGAAAGCATGGTTAGATTTACTAGCAACCAAAGCTGGTTATTCTTCTGGTATGAATGATGAGATTGAAAGAAAAAAGGCAGAATTTAGACGTCTAAATAAGAGAGTAAAAGAAGTAGTTGAAAGGAAAAAGAAAGAAAGAATGGATAAGAATGATAGAAGGATATCTTATAATTTCCAGGCTAACATAAAAATGTTCTGGAAACTCGTAGGAACTGCCAGGGGAAATACAAAACAGCCTATAATGAATGCTATAAGAGACGAGAATGGATGTATTCTGAATGATGAAGCTTCGAATTTAAACAGATGGAAGAAATACTTTGAAAGCGTGTTTATGAGTGAAGAGTCGTCCGAATTAAATGAACTAGAAATTCCGAAAGAAGTGGAAAGGGGTATGGAGATAAGTGTAGATGAAATAATGAAAGCAATGAAAAGCATGAAAGCAGGTAAGGCAGCTGGATATGATAGAGTATCACTCGAGATGCTATGGGCTGGAGAGGGAGTGGTGGCAGGCCTGCTATACACCTTGTTTGATTTATGTTGGGAATTAAAACGGGTACCGGATGACTGGTGTAAAGCAGTTATAGTACCAATATATAAAGGACCGTGGTATCAGCTTGCTTAGTATTGTGGGTAAACTGTATGCTAAGGTGTTAATTGAAAGAGTTATGAAAGAAACTGATGGAAAAATTTGGGATGTGCAAGCGGGTTTTAGAAAGGGAATGGGGTGTACAGATCAAGTCTTTTCCATGCGCATGATTGCGGAGAAGTTTTGGCCAAAAACCAGAAAGTTTTTTGTGCGTTCATGGACTTGGAAAAGGCTTATGACAGAGTGGACAGGAATGTGTTATGGCAAACACTGAACTCATATGGGTTGAGCGCTGGTTTGATACAGGCATTAAGGTCTCTTTACAGGGACTCTAGTGCTTGTGTCGGGATCAATGGGGTCTACTCGGACTGGTTTGGCATCCAAAAAGGTGTCAGACAGGGCTGTGTAGCTTCCCCTTGGCTGTTCAACCTATTTATGGACAGGTGTTTGCAAACTTTGAAAGATGAAGAATGTGGGTTAAGAATGGGCGAGATAACCGTCAAACGCCTTTTGTATGCCGATGATCAAGTCATATTTGCGTCATCGGCGGCTGAGTTGCAAATGATGGTTACATTAATGAACTGGGAATTAAAAGAAAGGGGAATGAAAGTGAACGCAAGTAAGACGAAAGTGATGGTTTTTGAAAGAGAAGAAAGCAAAACGGTATGTGAAATAAGAATAGAAGGAGAGTTAATTGAGAGCAAGTGGATGAGTTTGTGTATTTGGGATGTGTATTTAGCAGGGATGGTAGATATGATAGGGATATAGAACGACGAGTAAATGCAGGGAATAGAGTGAATGGGGCACTACACTCTATTATGAAGAACCAGAATGTGTCAAAACAGGCACGTATGGTAATTCATAATGCTGTGTTAGTCTCTACTTTAATGTATGGTAGTGAAAGCTGGGTGTGGCAGAAGAAGCACGAAAGTAGAATAAATGCTTTAGAAATGCGGTCTTTAAGGAGTATGCTAGGGTTGAATCTGAATGACAGGGTGAGAAATTGCATGATAAGAGATAAATGTGGTATGCAAGATGATGTTGTGACCAGGATTAAGAAAGGAATGCTTCGGTGGTTTGGTCATGTAGAAAGAATGAATGAGGAAAGAGTGACAAAGCAAATTTATATGGCAGATGTGAACGGCCGAGTCGGGAAGGGACGCCCTAGAAAAAAGTTTATCGACCAAATTGGCGATATTTTGAAAAGGGGCCACGTTAGAAGTACCCTTAACCGACGAGCATGTATGCGTAGATATATGGATGTAAAGGAGGCGAAAGAGGTATGTCAGGATCGTGCCAAATGGAAGTCCGTAGTCTCTGCCTACCCCTCTGGGTGACAGGCGTGAGTGTTTATGTATTATGTATTTATGTATGTATTTTTTGCTGAGACTTGAATAAATATGTACATATGAGTTTTAGTAATATTACATTACTTCATTAAAAAATACATTTTCATTTGTAACAGAACTTATGGCTGGAGTACGTATAAATCTAAAAACATTTAATCATTTTCAGCCATAAGCAAGCGAGCGGATAGACAGAAATATTTCAACAATAACGTAGGAATTCTCTAAAAAATCTAAAATGAAAAAAAAATCAAAATTTTGACAAAACCCACGACGAATGTAAAACCAAAAAAGGATTAAATAATTTTTTTCAAAAATTCGCTTTCACTGAAAATAACATCGTTGCTGTGAGAAAACTAATTCTAGAAGTTCGTCATGTGACATTTCGAGAGATAAGAGGCGTTATTAGGCATCTCAGGTACAACTATTCAGAGGATATTTTTTTATTATTACTTTTGAGAAAGCTAATTTGTCATTGGTTGGATCCTACATTTGCTTTCCGATGATCATAAGGCGACCTGCGTCAGATGGTGTAAGAAAACTCTTCCAAGGTTCAACCGAGGAGAGTCATCACGTCTATGACATCATCAGTGGTGACGAATCTTCGACCTATGATCTCACAATCTACAATCTGGGTCTTCAAAGACGAGCCCAAGCCGACTAAAGCTATTTGCTTTCGAAGCACTTCAAAGAAAATGGTAGCCACGTTCATTGCAAAAACCGGCCATGTTGAGCCGATTGCACTTGAAGAACGTAGAACGGTTAATGCAGAGTAGATATATCACAGTTTGTTTACCAACATCATCGCCAAACTTCGGGCATCAAGATCAAAGCGACACATCATCGTACACCAACACCATGACAACGCTAGCTCACACAGCGCTGGTCAAACGATTGAGTATTTGAAGTAGCAAAACGTAAAAATTATTGACCATCCTCCATGCAGTCCCGACCTAAGCCCCAATGATTTCTTTACATTTCCTAAAATTAAGAAAAATCTTCCTGATCAAAGGTTGTAGTCCGGTGAAGAAGCAGTCGACGCTTTCAAAACCCCCACTTTGGAGTGTAATAAATATTTGATTAATAATGAAAAGTGTATTAAACTACGTCATGAATTCTTTGAAAAACAATAAAAAGTACTATAAGGTTCTAGTCGTATTTTTTTTGGTCAAACGACAAAACTTAAAAGGCATGCCTCGTATCTATCTAATCGGACAACGCAACTTTTTTCCAAATTAACAAAATAATGTCCACTTCACTTCACACAAGTTGATCACTTCCACTTGTATGAGTTTTGTAAGAAATTGTACAGCCTATTTTTTATTGTATAATCAACCACCTATTTATACATACATTTATATTATAATGACCCATTTTTAATAATAATAAATATTAGAGTGGCAAAAAATTAAACATGGTATACAAAATTCACTTTGACAATGCCTCTGTAGCCATATTTTTATTATATTTAGAAGGATCGCTTTTGAGAGGTTATACGTAGAATTAAATTGATTTTAAAGTTGATAAGTTTTTTTTTCTAACCGCCATTACCATTACACATATCCATGATTTACTTAAACATCTCAGTTCGATCAGTTATGCTCATTTTCCAAATTTTAGAATGTATCAAAAAAGGCAATGGCATTTTCCTAATAGTTTCGTAAATCTTAGATTTTTATAGTAGGTACATAGTTTCTTACTTTGTTTATTGCAGCAATATCTATAATTAACACTAAAACATAACTTACTATGACATCAAATTTTGCATATATATCCTTGAGGCGACCTTCGGTGTCAATGAGTGGGAGTGCCGACACTCTCCTATTCACGAACTTACGAAGGGCATCGATGATTAGAGTGTCTTCAGTGGCCGTCTCGATGTCATTTAGAGTACCAATACGAAGTTCGCGTAGCTTGCATTGAAGATAAGACGGCTTTGGCAGCTCGTTGATCTGAAAATTGTTTGAAAATAAATAACACTCTTACACAGATTTTATGAAAAAATAATAGTAAAATTTTTTACAGCTGAATTTTTATAACAATTTTTACTTTATTTAAGGCACTAATTAAATAGTTCATTGTAATTGTGCTGATTTACTACAAGTTCACTGCTGCAGGAAATCGTGAGGAGATCCTCTGATTGTCTGAGGCATAAAATATTTCGACGAAATATGATACGTAGGTACATTTTTTGTAAATTTTTTGTGTAGGTAGGTAGATTTTTTGTTTATGCTCCTGCAAGCAATTTTGGTGCTAATAATATAATAATAATAATATAACTTTATTTCAGACATAATTAGTTCATGTTAAGTGTAAGCATATTAGTAACAAATGTACTTAATATAAACTACCACTTTGCACGTCAGCAGATAATACTAGGTGGTCTGGGTTACCCTTTAAGTTTTCTATTGCCTTGTTTTTTGTACAACGTGCTTCATCTTTTTTCTGGATATGTGTCCCATAATCGTTATGCGAAATATGTTTTAACTGAAAACTAATGCAGACACCGCGTTGGTCCTTCCTTGGTTTGTGAATTGAAATGTTCTCTTTATTGATATGTGTACACTTAGGAAGGTATTTCGTGAAACAGGCTTTTTGTTTTGTTTTATAAACAGCGTGCATGTGCAGGTGTGATCTAAAATTCAAAATGAGTTGAAAAATGAGTTGACTCTACGTAAATGCGCTTTGATGATGCCCGGCAATAGTGACTAGGCACTTTCAGGAGTAAACTGAGCCATTCGGACACCGTTCCTCGTGTACATCTGGTGGTGGCAAAGTAACTACTATAACGTCCAATTAAAGTAGGGGATTCATTGCCATCTGCCATGACTGCCATTACTGATGTATCTTTCTTTTTTGTTATCTATCACTCTCCTGTGTAGCTGTGAAATTTAGCAGGTCTTGATTCAGAGGTATTGGTTTTCTGCGAGGTTCTTGGCAAATTGGATGTTGACTTTCTTCATGTAAACATTTTTCATCACTGACGGTTAAGACTAAATTTACTATTTTCTTTCAAATATCGTCAAAGTTACTGTCTCAAGATTGTCTGCGAGTAACAGTAAAACATTTTTATGACCAAAACACCTTATTTTCGGAGCGTCCGTCATAAGCGCATTCATTTCTGTCCCTTCTGAATACATTATAACGCTCATCAAATAATTCTTCATTAAAAATATCTAAAGTCAGTTTCGGTTAAGCAATTAATATCATATTCATTATTTAGTATATTTGTATACAGTTGATGTGTTTTGGAACGCATACGATTAACATTTTGATAGTAAATTAACATTAAAGAATTAAAAAAATACAAAACTTAAATGCAAAATAAACAAAAAAAGTTAGTTACTACCATACAAATAAATTAACTAATTTTAGTTAAGCAATCTTTGCTTTTAATATGTATTGTTGAAGAACTGTCGTCTTTTCTCAAATATATATTTCCGAATTTGACCCATAAACATTTATATTTTCCACGAGCAGTAGCCAGCGTCAAAGCAAAAAGCTCCTTGGATTCCGGAGAGTTATGTTCAGAAACGTAAATCGCATCTGTCCCCTTGAATTCTTAAATGCCTAAATGTACAGAGCTTAATGTGTTGCCAGGGTTAGCCTTATTATAAAGTTTAACCGCTGACAGGAGATTATCACGATGCCGAATGGAAGGCAGCGAAAGCAAAATATTAAGCGGACGTTGGGCTGATGTGGACAGCAATTTAGCAACCCTATGACACATACTAATTTCGGCATCTATCGTTGGTAGTTTCACTGTAGTATAAATATTTTTGACAAGCGTCAAAATGTTTTCACTCCGTTTTTCAGGAACTGCTTGAATTTCCACGTTGTGACTGCGAGAATTATTTTTTCTATGGATTCCAAACGACGAAGCAGTACAATCATTTTGTTTGTTAGATTGGCATTAATTTTTTCCAGTGCCTTAATTTTTATTTCATCAGATTCAATATTTGACATGACTTCTTTTTGTCCCTGATGTAGAAAGTCTGTAGTATCGGTAAATCCAATTTTGACAATTTCGACCTAATCAATGGCTGTAACAATCTCAGTTTTGATTAATGTTTTCATATGAATATAAAATGATTTGTTGAGTGATTCAAATTTTTAATCTAATTTGGCATCGCGTTTCTAGAAGTTTCGCTATAATCTCTAATGTAATTTCTTGTCCCAGAGGACACATAGAAGTTGATAGTTGAGGACCTAGTGAAGCTTTCGAGTGTTCAACAGAAAGAAAGTCTTCGCAGGACATTATTGAATCATTAAATGGCAATGATCTTCTAACTGGTGTGTTCCAAATATCTCCATTGCGTCGATTTGTTACATTAAAACAAGTTGGGCATTTCCATTGAGATTTGGTTTAGCTGTCTAATTTAGAGAAAACAGTCTTATCCATATTCAAACATTTTAAATTGTATTCTTGCCTGCAGTGCATGCATAAACACTTTTCTCTTTCACCAGGAGGTGTTGGCAAACCTTTGCAGGCAATACAAGAATTTTTTTTCCATGGTGGTATACGTAGGTGCAATAACAAAGTATAATTTGTAACGTGGCCAATTGTGTAAATGATGATATAATTTCTATTTTCAGATATTTACATTCCAACAGTCTGGACATGAATTTAAAAATACCGATAATTTTTATTATCACTTCATCATCATCATCATCATTACAGCCCTTCACAAGTCCACTGCTGAACATAGGCTTCCCCCAAGTAATGCCACAAAGCACGGTCCTGAGCCACCTGCATCCATCGACTTTCTGCATGTCTTACCAGGTCGTCTCTCCATCTAGTGGGGGGTCGCCCTACACTACCCCTACCGGTACGATGCTGCCACTCGAGAACCTTTCTTCCCCATCGGTTATCGGTTCTTCGAGCTATATGGCCGGCCCATTGCCACTTCAGTTACTTTACTAATTCGTTGGGCTATGTCGGTCACTCTGGTTTTACTGCGGATATCCTCATTTCTGAGTCTATCAAGCAGAGAAACTCCAAGCATAGCCCTCTCCATAGCTCGCTGAGCGACCTTGAGCGTCCTCATACGGCCAGCAGTGAAGGACCACGTCTCAGATCCGTAAGTCATCACTGGCAACACGCACTGGTTGTACACTTTAGTTTTCAGAGATTGAAGTTAAAGTCGTAATTTCCCGAACGCTGCCCAGCCGAGTTGAATCCGTCGATTGACCACTCGGTCGAAGTTGGACTTACCTAGTCGGACTATTTGTCCCAGGTAAACGTACTCGTCAAGAACTTCGAGCATAGTGCTCCCAACAACTACCGGCATAGGTTTTTTTTTTTTTTTTAAAGAATAGGGTGACAAACGAGCACACAGTCACCTGATGGTAAGTGGTTGCTGCGGCCCATAGACATCTACATCTATCCTCCATTAAAAATCAAAATGCAGATGCGTTGTCACCCGTGAGGACTGAGATGGAATGCCTCGTTTCCAGTAAAAAGGGTCTCCGGTTCTCTACACTCACCATACGAAATACAGCAGCATTAAGCTACTATTTCACGCTGGTATTCTGTGAGAGCGTGGTCCTTCCCCGGTCGAGCCGACCCATTCGTGCTACAACTATACTACTAATATAACTGCAGCATGGCTCTACCACGTAAAAAACACATGTTGTGACATGGACATTAAACATGATCTTTGTTTTGTCCATGTTCATCTTAAGACCTATCCGTTGGGAGACACCATTGAGGTCGTTGAGCATAGTGCTAAGGTCCTCCAGCGATTCTGCCATAAGGACTATATCGTCGGCAAATCGAAGGTGAGTGATGTACTCGCCATTGATGTTAATACCGTATCCTTTCCAGTCCAGTGGCTTGAAAACGTCTACCAACGCAGCGGTGAAGAGTTTCGAGGATATAACATTATTATTATTAGCATTTAAAATGTTAATATATAACATTGCAAAAGAAATTGTAAAATAGATTTAAAAAAATTAAAGACCCCGAGTTCTTGGCGGTTCTTTACTGAGGTCTTGCCTTCCAAACCGGTGTAGATTTTAACGTTCAAAGGAGCTTTAACAAGGCTGAATCGAATAAAAGTTTTGAATTTAAGTTATTTAATTTCAACACAAATGGCCTGATAAAATTCTGGTTTTCAAACTTCAAAGAAAGGTTATCACTGAAGACATTGTTTTTCAAAGACAATGACAAAAAATATATTTTACGTTGTAGTATTTTCAAATACCAAAATAAATGGTTGTAAGTGACTTACGTATAAAAAGAGGAAGCGCAGAATCCTCTTATGTGTAAGGATATATAGTACGTTGCCAGTTTCAGGGTCAATGACCGGCAGCCTATGTATCCGGTTGACAATAAGCATTCTTATTGCGTCGTATAATGACGAATCTGGCCCAATTGAAACTAGCGGCACAACCGACCCTTTCAGCACCTCTGAAAAAGTATACAAAATATAAAGTTTCATGTACGTCAATAAGCAACGTCAGTAAATAAATAATATCACATTTCCATTCTTCTGCCAAACCTGAACGCAGCCAAAGATACCCATATGTCAGGATTGAGGTAGGATTATGGAAATATAAGCTTTTTTGATTTTTAAATAAAATACAGTAAGGATTTTTGCGTGTGAGGGATGTAATTTGAGAGAGCACAAAACCAATAATTAATTTGATTATTTTTTCAAGATTGTTAATTAAATTACGTTTGCAACAAAATGTCAGGACTTTTCTATGGAAATTAGGTTATTTGTTAAGACTTTTCAATTATCTATCTGGTAAGTCTAACCGCATTAGACTATCAATGGATTCACTAATTTTTCCATGAGGATAATTATTCAAAGAAAGATCTGTGTTCAGCATGTCAAATTACTTTTGAGATAACAATGTTACAAAATCTTTGCACTCTGTTTTCTGATTACGTAGGATAGTATAAGAAATTAATTTCATTTCTAAGTGTCGTTGTAGCTCAGAGGAAACGAACATTCTTTTTCTGTCAGTAAATATTAAGATTGTTAATCATCATTTCAAGTGATGATTTACCGCGTCCCTACAAAATAAATATACAAGGAAAAACATTATTTCGTGACCATGTCACGTCTGCCAACTTTCAGTTGTTTTGTATTGATGTTCGAGAAACGCGACGGAAATCCCGTTCCGTAAATCCTTACAGAAATAAGAAACCTGTGTCCAGCTACAGGGCGTATGGAATGCAACCGTTTCACTACTTATGTTTTGAAAGAAAACACTTATTTTCGAGAGAATATAGGTAGGTTCATTTTTATAGGAGAGGGGCAAACGAGCATACGGCTCACCTGATGATACATGATTACCGTTGCCCACGAACAACTGCAACACCAGGCGAATTGCAGATTCGTTGCCGGTCTTTTAAAAAGGAATAGGCTCTTTTCTTGAAGGTCTCTAAGTCGTATTGATCCGGAAATCTCTGGTGGTAGTTAATTCCACAAGGAAGTTGTGCGAGGAAGAAAGATTATTTTAAATCGCACAGTGGTGGACCGCCAGTCTTCCAGATGGTATGGATGGTATCGCGAGTTTTGTCGCGATGTGCGATGGTGAAATTAAGGATCTCCTAGGTGTGCGTTATTCGTAGTTAGCAGTGGCTGCAAATAACCGCCGGTTCGACAAACTCCGCCGATCGTTGAGTCCCGTGATTCCGTGAGGCGTCGAGGGCACCGGCCCCTAGGTGATTCTTGGCACTTTATGCGTTGCGTGCATTATGTGCCTAGTCGCGTTATAAAGTGCCACCATCGCACTTCCCCCAACCCTTTTGTTTGCAAAAGGGATAGGCAGTGCCCCAAGTGAGGATAGTCACTATTTTTATATCATTATATTTTAGACAGGGCCTAAATCTAGATTACCTGACTGACGTAGGTAGGTCATCAAGTCCGACAAGAAAAAGCGGGAGCCTCCCCCCCCCCCCCCAATAAGAAAACCACCGGACCGAAAAGGAGTGTTGGAACAACCACTGATTGTGAGGGATCTGGCGAATCCGGAGCGCACTAGAGTAGTGTCATCCTTTTCACAGATCCCCCAAAGAAAACCCGTCTCGCCACGGAAGTAGCCCGCACCGGGCGTCGCGCTCACGCCGGCCATGTCTGAGCACACGGTCAGGAGGGAACCGTCGCCTCAGCAGCAGCGGGCAATGAAAACGGCAAGACGACATACTCCACCAGAAACTGAAGCCTCCTTATACGAGAAGAGGCAACGGATTGGCTCCCAACTTTCTTCCGATGAAGCACCATCTACATCGGAAGAGGATGAAGATTACCACCAGGTGACGTCAAAGAAGGTGCATAGATCGCCACCCAAGTCATCCTCTCCACCGCAACCCCCCCCCCCGCTCTATATCTCCGGATCGGCGAAGCCAAGATTCGGCCCAATATGAGCAGGGGGGTGAAGAATCTTACAGTTGGGGGTCAACCATGTATGCTACCCTCGCAGCATCCACCGGCCGATCATCGCCGGTGGCAACATCCAACCCGTCCGGGCTCCCGCAGGACGATGGCCAACGGCCATCTACCAGCTATGCCCATATGGTAGCTGCACCAGCAGTACCACGACCACCACCGGCGGCAGTGCCTAGTGACAAGCCTGCCGACCAGGAGAAAGCCCGATATCCGCCCATAGTGGCTGAATGCCTACCGGACTGGACGAGGCATTTTAAGGAGCTCAACAGAATGTTGGGCCACCCTTTAAATGCCCGTCCGTTCGGGAAAGGCGTACGGTTTACACCACAAAGCGCCAACGAATTCCGTACAGTGCAGCGCTACATGGTCGAGTTAACCAAAGAAACACCAACATTGTCGTGGTATTGTTATACCCCGGAGGAGGACAAGCCCACTAAAGTGGGCATGCGGGGTCTACCAATGGGCACGGATACCAAACTAATAGAGGAGGCTATAAGGGCAAAAGGCTTCCCAGTAAAATATGTGAAGGCAATCCCACCTCGTAGGAGCAGACCTGGCTGCATCTACTTTGCCCAACTAGACCACTTGAGCCTGGAGCAGCTCCAGGATCTCTATAAAATTGACGAACTTCTCTATATGAGAGGGGTCGTCATCGAGGGCCTGGCAGAGAAAAGCAGGACCAGCTCAATGCATCGATGCCAGGCCTTCGGGCACGCCTCTGCCAACTGCTTCAGGCCAGTGAGGTGCGTGCGCTATGCCGGGGAGCACATAGCAAGCCTTTGCCCTCGGGGTAGAGAGGAAGAACCGAAGTGTGCCAACTGTGGCAAAAACCACACGGCAAATGACCGCCGCTGCCCAGTCCTGAGGAGGACTGCTAGGAGGCAGGGGATCACTTTGCCGGGGCTACTCCCGGAGGACCCTAAAAAGATCCCTCAGAGTCGCCCAAAAGCTGCCTCCATACAGAAAGACGGATGGGTTACCATCACTGGGAAGGGCAGGCAACCAGCCCCCCCCCCCCCCGTAACATCCCAAGAAACGGTGGAACCCACAATGACCAGGGCAACCACCGGGGCGACTCTACAGCCCCCCCGCCAACCCCGCCACAGAACGGCAACCCTCCAAAAAGAGGAGGCGGGGGGAGAAGTAGGAAGAAGTCGCAGCCTCCTCAGGCTGTTACCTCTACCCCGAAACCAACTGTACCAGTAGCCTCACAGGCGCAGATTACTCGGGAGACAACCAAAAGCGTGGGTGGAGTGCCAGAAAGGGCTCTACCCGAACGTAGAGCCCGCTCTACTAGTAGAGCGCGCTCTACCCACAAGCAAAGAGAGCAAAACCAGGAATTCCAACACCCGAGACAATTTCCAACGCCATCTTATAGGAGAACACCTGCCGCCGGCCTCGAAACAGCAGACGCAATCCAACGTCTGGTTGGTATTGCCATCGAGGTCGGCACACAAGTCCTGGCTGACATCAGAGCCGAGACAGATCCCGTGACGGCGATAATGAAGGCACTGGCAAACCTTCTAGCACGGCATTACGGAGGAGAGTAATCTGAGCCCCTTAATTGGAACCCGGACGGAATACAGCAGAAGCTGCATGAACTCCGCACAGTCGCCCAGCAACAGGATCTGCACATCATTTTGCTGGGAGAGACGAAGCTAAACCCAAAGACGCATATTAAGCTGCCGAATTACCACATATACAGAAGGGACGAGGTCACTTCTCAAGGGGCCGCCTACAGAGGGACGGCGGTTCTAGTGAGGAGGGACATCGTCCATCAGGAACTGGAATTACCACCATACCAGACTATGCGCTCTATCGGCATAAGAATGGCGGCGGCGGGCGAGGAACTTAGGATCTACGCAGCATACCGCCCGCCAGGGCTTCCATTCTGCTCTTCAGACATCCGGACGGTGATGGAAGGCGAAACACCCACAATCATCGCCGGGGACCTAAACGCTAAACACCCGGCGTGGGGGTCCAGAGTGATCACCCCGCCGGGTCTTGAACTCTATGACGACGCGGATAAGAACAATTATGACGTATTAGGCCCCGAGGAACCAACTCATGTTCCTACTGATCCACGGAGGCATCCGGATGTATTAGACATCGTGCTCACTAGGAACGTCAACTACCCGACAGTGGTAGAAGTGCTGTACGACCTCTTCTCACAGCACCTCCCGATTCTGATAACCCTTGGCCTCAAGGCGGTGACTATGCCGCCCAGAGCATTTAAGACACGTGTTGACTGGAGGCTCTATCTGCCAACATCTGCAGCAGAGACCTCCAGCACATCAGCCTATATGCACAGCGGACGACGTAGAGGCCGCTGCTACTAGAATTACCAAGAACATCAAGGAGGCCCTCCACGCGGCCTCTACGATCGTTCCGATCAGAGCAAGGCGAGACGATCTGCCGCGTGAGATAAGCGTGCAGATCAAACGCAAAAGAGCGCTGAGAAAGCTCTGGGCGCGTACTCGCTGCCCTAGACTAAAGACCCAGCTTAACACCTTATCGGAGGAACTGTCGGTTGCAGTCCAGGCCTTCAGAGGGGAGGCTTGGGATCGGCGCATCTGGAAGGCGGATGAGTATGATGCGTCGCTCTACAAACTGAACCGGCAGTTGACCAAAACCAAACCTCCCGTTTGCCCGCTGACCAACAACGCGGGCGAACGCTGCTACGATGCCAAGGGCAGAGCGGATATCCTAGTCGAGCACTTCGAGGAGCAATTTATGCCGAACCCAGCAAGTGCGGAGTTCATGGAGCTTCATGCCCGGAAGGAAAGTCGCGTACAGGAGTTCCTGTCGTCGCCTGCGCCGCCTCTTGCAGGAGAGTGGTTTATCTCCCCCGCTGAACTGCGCAGGACAGTAACCTGCCTGCAACCGAGGAAGGCGCCGGGGCACGATGGGATTACCAACGCTGCACTCCGACAGCTGCCCAATAGAGTCCTAGTAGAGCTTGGTCGACTCTACAATGGGATATTGCGGACATCCCACTTCCCGGAGGACAGGAAGAAAGGCAAAGTCATCGTCTTGCCGAAACCCGGGAAGGACAGGCGTAGAGCTGCCAACTACAGGCCGATTACGCTATTACCGCACATAGCTAAACTGTTTGAAAGATTGCTGCTGAGACGTCTCCGTCCGTGCATCCAACTTCGGGCGAGCAGCACGGATTCAGGAGGGGTCACTCTACAGTCACACAGCTGACTAAAGTGCTGCACCTGCTTGCGGCAGAGTACAATCGTGGCCGCATATCGTTGGGCGTCTTTCTCGACATCGAGAAAGTGTTCGACCGGGACCTATGCTGCGGTTAATGGCGTTTTTCCTGGAAGACAGGAAGTTCTACGTCTGCGTAGAGGACGCCGAGTCCGCAACCAGATTCATCAGAGCAGGCGTTCCACAGGGCAGCTGTTTGTCTCCAGTCCTGTACGCGGCTTACACTAACGATATACCTACACTGGCAGGCAGGCTTCAAGAGTGGGAGGACGACGTTGAGCTGGCGCTATATGCGGACGATAGCGCCTATTTCACCTCGTCCAGAAGAGCCCACATAGCCACTGCCAAGATGCAGTGTCTGCTGGACCTGCTGCCACCATGGCCGGATAAGTGGAGGATGGTCGTCAACGTTGGTAAGACGACCGCTCTGCTCACTCGCCGTCTCAGAAAATTTCCACCTCCGCTGACCCTCAACGGTCAGAAGATTGCGTACCAGAAGGCCGTAACTTACCTTGGGTGCAGGATCGACAGGCCGCTGCGCATGACCGCGCACGTCGACTTCGTCGTCCGCAGGGCCCGATGTGCGCGGGCGACGCTCTTGCCGGTCCTGGCATCCAAGCTGCCAACTAGAACCTAGCTCCGGATATACAAGATGTATATCCGGACCATTATCACCTATGCTGCTCCAGCCTGGTACGCACTTCTGAGCGACCCTCTGAGGCGGCGACTGCAGGCCCAGCAGAATCTGACATTAAGGACGATCGTCGGAGCAGGTCGCTACGTCCGACTAACAGACTTCGTGGCCCGGATGGCGCGCTGCATGTTCGACCGCGCTGACAACTGGCACACGAACATCTCAACGACTTTGCGCCGTTGCACGCTCGGCCCCCGGACGGGCGACCTCTTCCAAGAGAACTCCTCTCTATAGCGATTAGAGAGTCGAGTAACAACCCTCAATGCGGCTGAAAGGCCGACTTTGACTTTTGCTGGACAGCCTCCCTTCTTCCCGTAGTTAACCGACTACGGGAAAAACTTTACCTGGCTACGGATTATCCCGTAATGACTAATTATGCCTAGAATAGGCTCCAAGGACTGGCCCATAGTGATGGGCCATGAGGAATATCCGGGCAATGGGGTATACCCCGAGGCCCGATACCTGCATCGCACCTAGGTGCATGTAGACGACATTCAACGGATGGTGAAATTGTGCGGCTGGAATTAGTCCGAACAATTCCTCAAAACCCTCCCCGTAGTAGATGCGCTAAAATACGCAAAGAGATGCAACATCTCTTCGCAGTGCCAGCGAGGACAAGCAGATCGGAAGGAGTTGTCAACGATTCGAACTGCTCTGCGCTGGATGGGATCAAATGGAAGGAGCTGGCAATGGGGAGCCCCGGCCCAGAGATGGGAATAGTATTCCATGTGCGGCCGAACCTGCGCCTTGTAAAGTTGCAGGCGGTGGGCCGGCATGAAATACTGTCCCGCTCTACTGAGCACGCCAATCTTTTTAGAAGCCAATTCGGCCTTCTCTTCCACGTGACCACGAAACTGAAAAACTGAACTGAAATTTCCGATAGTGGCTGAGGCAACAAGGGTAGTGCCTTGAAACCGAAGAGATACGATGAACGGTTTTTTTTAAAGGTAAACGCGTAAACTTGCGTCTTCTGGGGATTAAACTGGATTAGATTTAGTTGCCCCCAGTCCGAGATTTTGTTCAACAAAGTCTTGACTTCAAACACAAGTTTGTGCCGGTACTTGGCAACCTATTCCCGAGAAATATTGGCACGGCCGGTGTATAAAGCATCACCAGTGCTGTCGTCTGCATAGCAATGAATGTTACCGGTTTGCAACATGTGATAATATATTGAGAGAAGAATGTTCTAAATGTATTAAGATGAAAAAAATAATAAGACAATAATTGAAAATAAGGTTAATAAATGAGTAGTGCCCATTTGCTTCATACCTGCAGCCAAATAAAACATTAAGGTTACAAAATAATTAAGAAGGTAAATTTGCAACGACGTACGTATTTATCTAATATGTTTAGATAAAAGAAGACATTTCAAACTTTCCCTAGGCTAAAAACCTTAAAGACTTTATACTTCGCATAGAAATAATTACCTATGTAATGTTTTCTTACATTCATTGTATTTTCTTACATTCATTGTATACATTATTTCATAGAAAATCTACGTTATTACAGTAATTGTCTCTTCGAAACTTATCGATGTAGTCATTATTTACAATTGTATTAATATTTGGATAGATTTATTATTTCTAGATTTTTTTGTTTAAAATGTTGAAACCGACAACGAGACATCCCGGATATTTATTTGAACAACTTGAGATCGACACCAGATGGTACAACTTAAATTCTTGGTTACAATTTTAAATGCTAATCACCACACGCTAAACGCAACGGCGAATAAAATACTTTGAAGCAACCTTTGTGATTGCAAATAAAAAATATTTTTCTCGAATATGTTCACGTACTGGGAGAACGCAGTATCCTTCTTATCTTAGAAACGAAAAGACTCTAAAAGATAAAATACTACAAAGAAATAAAATACTTACGACGCCAAGTCTCAAGTCGATGCTCCTCCAACTCGTCCATGGTGATGTTAGGGCTGGTGTAGTACATTTGCAGGATCTTGATGAAATCGGTGATCGTCAACATGCCGACAAACTTCTGTCGCTGCGAGTCCCACAGAGGCGCAGCACGCACGCCTGTCAACATTCGCTCATTTGACGTACCAATGCATTGGTACATTTTCTGACTGGATCATCAATGAATCAAAAAGAAATGGTCCTCGATTAGAAACCCTGGCTGCTGATATTCTCACTATACGACTATATACATGTGTATCTCGAGTTTTATTTTATGCCCTTTATTGTTGTCTCCTGTTGAAGGAAGGATTTTTCTTAATCATCACGCTTCGCAAGCTAACAGACGTTTCTCACCTTTGCAGTCGCCAGTCTAGATATATTACAAGCGGAATCAAGATAAGCTTATGCCCACGTCTATTAAACCCATGAGATCTTTTTAGCGTATCCCATAGACGCCTTTTACGAAACTCACTGATCGAAATATGGTGATTGGGTTCTTTTACGCCGCCACTACACGGTAAAACGGACTATGGTACTTAATTTTTATAATTTATACGATTCTTTTCTCAGGAACTATGTAAATATCTATTGCGAAATAAATATTACCGTATTATCAATTCTTATTAAAATTTCATATATTTTGACAGAACAATAGAGTAGGTAACGCGGTAAAAATAGTTACTGGAAGTAACGAAATAATTTGCATTGTTCTAGCATACAAGAGAACTCTCATTCGCAGTAATCCATGTTTTACTTTAAGTCTACATGACACACAAATGTATTTACATATCTGCAGCCAGCCTCTCTAATTCTGTAATTGGTAAGCATGAAAAAATTGCCTCTACTTATCACGGTGGACAGAAAGTGAGTGGATGAATTGATGAGGAGAGAGCCGATACCACTGGTAAAGCTGCTCACCATTACCAGTGTTTAAATGGATATTTTGCTATCATTTAGTCACCAGAGGCTATTTCGTCAATAATCAGGGTTCACTGTGTGCATGTTACGGTGGCATACGATGGAATAGGTGGCATATTCCCTCTCACATACGTATAATAAGGTAATTTATAGTTAACTATTAACATTACCACAGTTTAAATTTCAATGTAATCAATTGTAATACAACACAGTTAGTTACGCAACTTTGAGGTATTTAAAATAATTTTCGAACGCGACAATATTTCGCACAGCGGTGTATATTAGTTGACATTCTAATGTGTTATCTTTCATATACAATGCTGACATGAAAAAGATATTAAATGAATCGCAACAATCAAAACCGCAAACTTCGACGAAATTGTAATGTAAAACCGTCGTAAGGAAACAATGACGACCGCGGCAGCAAAGGTTTCAAGTAATCACTTGAAATATGTACGTAATAATATTCATCCTATTAAATAACAGACTTTCTTTAACTACAACATAAGTTTTAACAAATCCTATTTATTGATTTCATTATTTATTAAAAGGTGGTTAAAATATAGTTAGGGTACTGGCGGTGTACGGTGTGACGTCGCGAACGCATACATTTTGTGCCTCCACCACTCGGGAAATTAATACAAGAGCATAATATGTTTGTGTTTGTGTGCATACACGTCGAATGCCTTTTCAATGCTCGACTAGAATGGCCTCTGAATTAATTCATAAGGCTACTGTTGTATAGTCTTTTTAAAACCTCTAATAATATAAGAACGCAATGACGTCGGCTATCAATACGCTGCCAACATAACAGGAAATAACACATGAGTACAGTTTTTCACATAAATTAAAAATTCGCTAGCGTTGCGATTTTTCCGCATTATTGCTTGGTTGAAAATAAGTTTGTTTCGCATTTTGCATGTCCATTATTTGACACACTTACAAATACAAGCATTCGCATTGCAGTATACAAGCTCTTAGTCACCATCCGTAAACTATGCAATGTAGTATTTAAATATATAAGGTAAATTGAATAAACTTCTACACTGTAAATTCATACTAAGCTGAGTACATATGTCCACAAGTCTACGTAATTTTTTATCCACTATAATATTTAAAGATGTGTGTTATTTAATGGTGTATTAATTTATATCACACAAATTCTCGTTTATGTTGTGAAGTTGATATTTTACATTTCACATTAGAAACTAGTTATCGAAGCAGGTGCAATGGCAATTAAGTTTTGCGATGACTTTTAATCCGTATGAACTTTTCTGTGTGGATACACAATTTACTAATAACTCGACCTCAGCACCACCTATCCAGTCCAGATTTATTGATTTTCTTTTTTTGGTACTAAACCAACATATTATATTGATAATTTTAATTATTTTTGTTCATAAATCTATATCAGGTTAATACCTGACTACAGCGTCAAACAAATCCAATCCATCGCTTGAATCATCGTCTTGACAAAACAATTATATTATGTTGATATGACCTAAATCAGTCTAGTCGTTAAGTAGTTACGCCATTACTAATAGGCGCACTAATGATCTTATGAAAAACCTGTTTAGTCTAGGAAATACTACTTTGTCCTTTAACTGATGCGAGGTTTTTTTTCTGAATACTTTCGATCAAAAGTAATTTTAACTACCTCTTCAGTCTTAGTCAAAATTATTTTAACCGATATTTTTTTGTCGAAAAGTTTTTTTTTAATATTTTTTATTGAAAACTACTTTTTACTGTTTTCGTCGGGCTAAAATAGTAAGAGCCAAAGATGAGTGTTGACTGTAACATATGTTATATAAAATATTCATACTGTCAGACCTTGATCTATTTGATAAGACTTTTTAGGGTACCATACCCAAAGCATAAAACAAAGCCCTATTAATGTCACTCTGCTCTCTGTCCGTTTGGTCGTATGTCACGGTGCGGTGTTTCGGATCTATAACTTGTAGATATGATTTACAGACCTAAAATTTTAATAATTAGATTTGTTTACCGAATTGTAAATTGAATTACCTATCTCAGAAGTAAAATACAAACGTATCTTATATTCCTTTTTATCTTATTAAATAAAGGAATGATAGTCTATCAATGATGTCAGTTTTAAACTGTTTTAGTTGCGGGATCTTTCGCAAGCATTAAACTACATAGCAATAAATTTGAAATTTGTGCAAATTAGGTACCATAATATACTGTATTTAAAATATGAAAACATCTATCCATAATGTAGTCTGTACGCTGTGACATGAACAAATGAACATAGTTTAATACTAACTAGAAACCAATACTGAAAAATATCAGTACCTAATTAAATATCCAGTAAAAAAAGTTAATTAGTCACATGTACGGAACCATAATAGAGCTTGACCCGACTTGCACTTGGCCGGTTTTTAGTGTTAATAGCTGTTTCGACCTTGTGGCTGCGTTTATCTTGTAAGATCTACGTTTAAGAATTTAAGATTTTAACCTTTAAAATTTTACTTTTGTTAATGATTGTAACTTTTCACTTTACTTTTTGCTACAAACATATTAAATATTTCGAGGCTTACCGAGACCGCGGGAGTTAGTACTCTTATTAATAAATAAATTATATACTAAATATTTATTTTATATATTAAAGATTTATGTATTGTACTAATGTATTCTTAATTCAAAGTTAAATTTTCTTAATGAAATATATATTGAATCCGCTTAACATTGGTAAAAATTAAAAAATAATTACGTTTTGAGAGAAGTTTAAAATCGAGATGTCCATCGTAGTTAGTTGATATTCACTGACCGTTGTAGACGAGTGCGAAGAACGCCTTCTTCACAAGCAGCTGCGTGTCGAACACCACCAACTTGGCAGAAGTCGGGATCAAGTCGTAGCATTTGTGGAATTTGAAGAACTTTACGAAGATCTGGGATTCATCCTCCTCTGAAATAAAAACATAAAAGCGTATTGCAAATTTCAAAATATAGTGATGAAAATTATAATGACTATTTTAACTTTTATTTCAAATACTTGTCACTTTGGCTCACATATCAAAATGATACGTCTAAATCATTACATGCAACACGTTTATAAAATGTAATACATATTATTAACATACTTAATATTTTTTATTTATTATAAAATTCGAACAAACGGACAGTTCACCTTACAGTGTCGCGTGCAGCCCATTGGCGCACGCAACTATTTCCAAACAAAAAAGATTGATGTGAACGTCAACATCTCTAAGGAAAAATGATGTCAGTCAAAATAAATTCTGGTGACCTAAATTGTAATAATAATTCTCCGTTTCATCTGATCCTTTAGAGCCAAAAGTCCAATGCTGAATATAGGAGAGATTTTAGAGCAGGAGTTTTAGAAACCGCCATTTTTTATGATTTTATATTGTAATCAAGAAGATGCTGCTGCCAATTTCCTATTTCAGTTTCCCTTTGTCGCCTCTTACGTCATCCACGGCACGTATGGGGTAGTGGATATTCCATTTTTATATTCAATAACTGCTTACATAAGGTATAGAAAGTGAGAAAAAGTCAAAAGGGAACTTTTTAAATGTTAACCTCATCCGCAAGCGTAGTGCACTAACTAACAATCGAGAATCTGGCGGCTGACAAATGACAATAAAAGGTCTTTACCTATGAAATTATTGTTCTTTAATAATATAGGCCATTTTAAATCAAAATAATTTTTGTTTCGTCGCTAAGATTTCCTAATTTCAAATAAACGGCTTTTTTTTTCAAAATTAGTTTTGTTTATTGATTGGCGTTATATTTTCATCTCATTTGAATATTTTTCGTCATCACGGATACCTTAAAAATTCGAGAAATTTTGGAATATGAGTACCGTCGTAGCAGCAACGCGGCACAAGCGACACGTAACATTAACGACATTTACGGAGCGAATACTTCAAACGAACGCACCACCTGTTATTGGTTTGCCCGCTTCCGTTCTGGAAATTTCAACCTGAAAAATTAACCACGTGTTCGTCCGAAAACTTTGGTCGACAATGACGAATTAAATTCGATTGTAGAAACTGATGATACTCAAACTACGGCTAAATTAGCAGTAGCTTTCGAACGTTAGCATTAAAACCGTATTGGTCTATTTGGGTCAAATTGGCAAGGTATAAAAGCTTAATATAAGGGTGCCCCACGAACTCAATGATCACTAGCGCGAAGTACGCGTCGAGATATGCCTTGCACTGCTCAACAGGCGCACCAACGAAGGGATTTAGAACCTGATTATTATCTGCTATAGAAAATGGATTCTGTTTGACAATCCCAAGCGCTCAAAAAGTTCGTTGAATCCTGTTTCAGTACCTAAACAATGCCCTATACGAAAACTTAGCCCTAAAAATGTGATGGTCAATGTTTGGTGGTATTGCGCCGGTGTGATTTATCACAGCTTCTTACCAAACGAAACCTATAAAACTACTACAAAACTTTCGCCCTAAAAGGTGAGTCCTGTCATGGCGGAAAATTTAGCAAAGAGCGCGTAACAATACTTCTGGGTACTAACATGTCAGATACTGAAAAGTTACCTATCCTATTAATCGGAAAATCGACAACTCTATAATCTTTAAAAGGTATTAAAACCTGTGAATTACCAAAATAATCAAAATATTTGGAAGACATCTACTATTTTCGCCGATTGGATGAAGAATTTGTATCTATATAATAAATGAAGGTCCAGAAGTGAAAATTTTTGATGTTTGTTGAAAATTGTACAGCTCACAATAATATGCCCGAATTAGCCACATTAAACTCGTGTATCTGCCTGTTAATACGACAAGTAAACTGCAGCCAATGTATCAAAGCATCATCAATAATTTCAAAATTTATTACAGAAAAGAAGTTGTTCAACATGTTCTTAAATCTATAGAAACAATCGTGCCCGGAAATCAATGTTCTTCAGGCGATGAGGTTTGCAAAAATACAATAGCAAACTGCTTTAAAAATCTGGATTTAAATCTGCAGTAACTGAGAGGAAGTGAACTTAGAAATTGATGATTGGGACCTAGCCATCAGCAACAAAAATAACCAGCAGCCAACGAAGATTTTATAAACGTCGCCGACGAATTAATAGTTTCAGGAAAACTTACTGAAAACGACATTGTTCATGCCTTCTCGTCTTCTTCAGTGGAAAATGAAGAAAATGATGATGTTTCAGGCTCGGAAGTTAACTTAGTAAAAATTTCTCCACGCGAAGCATTTATGCACTAGAAACGTTACACAATTATTTTGAAACGTCAACAATCGGTGACCAAAACATATTTGGTAAAATTTGTAACATTGAAAAACATTTTACAGTTGATACTTTCAAAAGACAAACTAAAATAACAGATATTTTTGATCGCCGTATTTTGCATGTTTACAAAATGCGTTATTTTATTTAATAATCGCACCTCTATAACTGAAATAATCCCTATTCTCACTTCTATTAATGGAACCCTCTGTAAATGAGACAGACATTTATTTATACCTGGATATCTGAGACACTGGGTAAGTGGAATACCCCATTAAGTGGTCCCTAAGGTCCCAGTTATCCAGGTTTCACTTTAAATTAAAACTACTACCTATCCTATGACTATAATTCACTCCTGAACATAGGCCTTTCCTCCACATACATTGCCACATAAGGGGCATATTTGCTATATAGAGCTACAATCGTAGTACTTTTTTATTTTCTAGTCGTTACATATAACAAAGACGCTGCTGTCAATCTCCTGTTTCAGTTTCCCTCTGTCGCATCTCGCTACATTCTTGGGACTAACGCACCTTTGGTCTAAACGCGGTTGCTGATTATATTGAGTTCCTAGGTTCCAATCCTCAGCGGTTATCCAGTCTAGCTCTTTCCGGTCGAGTCGAATTAAAATAATAATAACATCCTTCAGACCAAATTTCGGTCACGGCGCGGTGGCCAGTTTCAACGGAGACTAGCCATCCGCATAGGACAGAATTATAGTTCCCGAGTGTACACGCAAACACAAGTGCACTCTCTATTCCCTCACTCTCATAGTGCGACGGGATGGTAATCCGATACGACCGGAGGGAGATCAGACGCAGGAGCAGCCTGGGGATACACCTATGCTTGCGCATTTTCTCGAAAACTATAACCCTGTCATGCGCAGATCGTCAGTTTCCGTTGGACTGGTGGCTGTGGACAAATTTAGTCTGGAGGACATTATAATTACGTGTCTTAGGTTTCTATTCATTAAGCATGACCTTTAGGGTCAGTGGACTGAAACGGTAATCGCCCGACCTAAGACGGCAAGTGTTCACGAGTAGCGTTGCTAAGCGTGCGGATAAAGCCGGACACAGTCAGACTTTTCGGTAGCGCGTGCGACCAAATTAGACTGTATCCGTTCTGTCCAGTTTTTGTTAAGTTTTTTTAAATTAGATAATTGTTTTATTTGTGTTCGTTTCCGCTCCGCCAGCCACAACAATGGTCAAAAGAACTATATGTAGACACTAGCCAAAATGTGGTTGTACAATTTAATTTAGAAAATTTGACTTATAAAGAGTTTTACAACCATTAATTAATTTATTTACAATTACTTTAAATCCTGAATCACGAGTAACAACCTCAGAACGGTAAATTTTTTGATTTTTTAGGCATTTTGTTATTGAGATTTTCAACTGACGGTGTAGAAGACTATAATGGTAATGATGAAAGTAATGAATAATATACATAAATTGCTTTTTGTGTAGTTATTAGAAATAATAGCTTACTAAAAGCTAGCCCAACGACTTATTTCAAATTTTCGAATTATATGTTATGTATGCTTACACTAATATAATATTAGTGTAAGCTGTGTAAGATACTTTATACACAATACAAAATAAAATTTTTATAATATGTTTATGTTATGGAAAAATATATATAAAAAGGAATTATTCATAATGTCCAGACAGTTTGACAAATGCCTAATACGGCAATATAATAAACTCTCACTGTCCTGTTTCCAAACACAATAGTAAGACAATAACAATGTATCATATGTGGCTCATAGGACAGGAAATGGGTTAAAACTAGGTTAGGTTAGGTTAGGACAGGTTTTTAAGTTTGACATATTTAACAATTAAAACTTTCCTTCACATTTTTACACTTGCTAATTTCAGGTTTCGTATATTATTCACTTATTGTCTTAAAAGTGATATTCAGGTTAGGTTAAGTTAGGTTATACCGAATTGCGCAACAGTTACGTAGAACTATTCACAATGACTACACAATGTGATTAATTCTACGAAACTGTAATGAAGTTTAAATCAGTATTAATTAGCGTACCCCGATTTGACTTGGCATTACAAATAATGCCCTGATTGAATATAAAATAAAAAAAAAAAATATATATATATATATATAGATTTTAATACGTTAACTTTTACCTTAATTTAAAATTCCTAACATTGAAACAAAAAGTAGCATTGAACATACGAGTATATCCGTATATTAGTTTTATCATGCGCACAAAGTTAAACGAACATTCATTGTTAGCTTTCTGTTAAAACTCTAAATTTTAAGTTTTAAGAAGCCTGGGTATAACCCGGAAATATAAAATGTATTTATTTATTTCATATTTTTATATAATTAGTGTGACAGATAATAAGCGTACAATCCAAGGTAAGTGTATGATGCTGTGGCCCTTAGATACACACTCGATTGAGATTCAAAATGAAGGTACGTTGTCACCCCTTAAGGCTAATGCTTCGATACCAGTAAAAAAAGGTCTCCGATTCTCTATACTCGCCATACGAAACATTATGCTGCAACATTATGAAGCTATTTAACGTTGGTATTCTGTTAGAGTGATCGAACGAGATCCTTCCCCACTTGATCCGACCCAATCGTATAGCAAATTATTTTAGGAAACTCTTAAGGAAATATTTTAAGCACTATTTGTTTAGTTTTTGTTAGGCGTTAAAATCGATTTTGTGTTGTAATTTTAGCCACAACGAAAATTAATGCTAATAACTAAACATTTTACGGCGAGCTGTAAAAGAAAGCTGAGAAATAAGAAAACTACAGCTACGGTTTCTTTTTTGTTAATTAATGACAAAAGTTGGTTAACTATTTTTTTAAATCCGTATAAATGAAAATTCATGAAAAATAAAAAAATTGGTAACTGTAGGTTAACTTGAATTAATTATTATTGTAGTTTTTCAACATTATTTTAAATGTGAATTTATATAAAAATATATCAGGGTTATCTTCAATCTTATAGGGTATCTTTCAAAATGAAAATTTTATTTTTTTAATTACCTACCTATATATTATTTCACCTGCAGACAATTCAAGCAATGCTAACAATCAGAATAAAGTATCGATTACCAGTTACAGTCAAGCAAATCTAAGAAATACATTTTGACAGCTGTCAGACTTATTGCACCAGGCATGGCAACCTAAAAATGGGAACGTACAATATTCGATTCTTAAAAAAATCGATATAGATTATTTAGAGTATATAATCATTTACAGTTTGGTTCGAATAATACCAGATTAAATTTAAAACGGGTAATTTAAAACACAAGATTTATCAGTTTCTACGTATTTGTTTTTACTGCTTATTTCTAGAAGATTTATAAAAATTTAAGATTAAAACTGGATTAGAAAAATTTATTCAATCACTTTCAGTACAACTAATTGAGCTGTCGTTGTTTAGATTAATTATTATTTGATTTTCAATAATGCAGTCAAAATTAATGTCTCTTTAAAAGTCATCCATAATAAAAAAATGTTTTTTCTACAACTTTTGCCAAATGATCCTTTGTGACATGGGCACATGCTTCAACTAATACATATTAAAAGAAACGGTCCAAATAGTTAAAGTCGAGTCATAAAATAAGACGACAAACACAAAATCACAAAATTACGCACAGTAAGCTTGCGTAATAGTGGGATATTGAAATTACTATTCCTACACATACTACACATACTACTATATACTATTAATTCGATTATTTAAATATTTTTACCTATTATTTGAATATTTTTGCCGATTATTCGCATACCAATGAATTTTAATCATCCAAACACTACGGTAATGCACACATAGATGTCGCTATCATTGTAATCTCTGTCATCTATGTACCATTGAAATATCTGTATCAATGTATCATTGAAAGGACGTCAAGTAATAAAGTTGACACTGGTTATTTTTTAATATTTTGCTTTGTTTGAAAGATTCGAATTTAACTTAGTGATAAAAAACTACACACGTTGTAATGAAATATAGATAACTTCATAATTCTTCGGATTTATGTAAAAGGTTATTTTAAATAGTGCGAGTACGCTTGTGCAAAGTTATTGCCGAATGATTAACCCTAGCTCACTAACGTTAATTTCAAGTAACGTTATCACTAACCATTCGTAACTTTTACGACGGATTAAAACATCAATAATTATTTATATAATCAACTTTATTTATGACACGACCTTTATTAGCAGTCTTAGTTTAATCGAAATCAAATAACATAGTCTGTTTTGGAAATAAGCTACACTGAACAATGATTGCACATGGAAACAATATGCTCTCTGCAAATCGTTTTTTTGCAGCTCTTACAGAAGTAGGTGGTGATACAACGTTTCTTTGTAGGACAGTAGCTGCAAATTTTGTGGTTTCTGGGAACGTCTTGACTAGAACCTTCCTGATTATTATAAATTTTCAAGATCTCCGCGATGATGTGGTTCAAATTACGTTGCCAATTTACAGTCCGATATCTCTCTTTCAGCCAAGGCTTCATCTATTTGTCTGCCATTTCTAATGCAAAAGGCCTTCTATTCATGTTTTTTTTTTATTTCTGACTGTCACTGTGAATGACATAAGAATTCACTATAGACAAATTTAGAATATCGTAGGACAAGCATAGCGGCCATCGATTGGTCTTACGGCTGGTACGCCTATGGTATAAAATAATACAAAGTTGCAAATAACATTAAAATCTGTTATAAATGTAGTAATTATTTCATAACAATAAAGTGTCCTAATAGTAATTATTGAAAAGAATTGACAAAAAATAAAAAACAACTTTGAAAAAAAAGTTACGTAGATACTAAACTTTCGTAAATTTTACGACGATCACACGATATATCCCGATCTAATGAGTGTGCGTCCACAAGGAGTGATTGCGGGTCACTAGCGATGCGAATAAGGAAGGTATTGAAAACGGGCAGGGTGGCAGGATTCGGGATCTTACCAAAACACTAAATACGTAAGGTGCGCGTCGTCATTTTGACGAATGGTTAGTGACACAGGGTTAATGTCAAACGTCAAAAGGTATTTCTTAGATTTGGTTGACTATAATAAAGCTAAATCTAATCCTTCGCTGAAGGATTCTGATCGGTTTACAAATGTGCTACAAGCAGAAAACATTTCATCTAGTTGAAAAGCATGTTCCCATGAAAATATTGTTTATTTATGTTTTGCGCCTATCAGCGTGTTACGCAAGTACGTAGAGGCCGTTCGGTGACATCACAAACATCCTCTATTGACGTAAAATCAAATGTAGATGATGCGATGCACATGAGAATTAGTGATCATAAAAATAGTATTGCGTTTAACAAACACCTTGAATGTTACAATACCTTCGAAGGAATAAAGATTTGGCATATTCAAAAATAATAAAAGTAAATCTAACTTCACAGGTTGCACGAGGGAACGAGATCAAATTATGACACGGCAAGAAATCTCATTATGGCATTATTGTAGAAGATTCATGCAGATGAGGTCATAACTATTCGATAGTGTTATTGGAATTTTAGATCATGATCATTCTGGAAAGGAATAACGCGGTTAAAATATCAATCTTGTTTTGTTATTAAACGAAACATTTTTTTATGAATATCGCTTGATAATGAAATATAAACGCTACAAGAATTAACTATGTATAAAATTTGTTCTAAACGGCCTTTAAGAAAGAAGCACAAAAACAATCGTGCTAAACATCGAATCGTGGTCGCAACGTGGGTGACATAAAGAAACCGACACCTTTGAGGAGCCAGTCGGCGAGGAACGCCTTCCATGCCCGGCCGACTGCCTCGAACTCCTTGATGAGGTCGATCGAGTGGACGGAGTCTTCATCGTCGACGGTGGCGAGGGCGGGGTTGTCCGAGAAGTAGTGTAAGCGCAGCATGCACGGGGCCCGGGCGGCGCATCGCCTGCCGCGCCCGCCACGGCTCACTGCTAAATATACACGATACCGCGCATGCCGACACTCGCCGCGAACTTAACACTGAGATGCTAGCAACGCGACCGCCGCTTGGCCAACTGCCCCGAGACAGACCAGCGCTCTCGTCGCTGATCGCTGGCGTCGTACCGTCACAAACTAAATATAAACCCCGCCGCTCCGAAATAAATATCGCACGCCGACAGCTGCTTCTACCACAACTCGATGGAAACTTCTTACCACCACAACGTTAGGTGGATTAAAGGCAGTGGAATTAAAGTCGTATCCTCGACCATTTAAATAAATATAGATAAAATAAGCATCATTGTTTATACAAGTTTGTCGTTCAACGTGATCCGTTATATTCATCTGGAACACTGACGCAATACATTATATTTTCAAACAACAATATATTAAAATGAATAAAGGAATATCACATCACAGAAGCTAAGATTCCTTTTTTATACGTCTTTGTACAGAAGTAAGATAACGTAATGTCGCCCCTTTATTAGAGAGATCGATAGCTTTATGGAAGAGAAAATATGCAGCCACGTTGTTCTAGTGTAAACTATTGTACGACAGTAACTTTCATGAATAACTTCAAAAGGGAAATTATTAAACGATCTGAAAAATATTTTATTACGACGATATCCAATAGTATTGACTTGTGCAGTATTTAATTTTATTTAATTTAATTTGCGAAAAATTTACTGATCTGCCTGCTAAGGTTGGTCAATAAAAGCTGCAAAAAGTGTATATACATTAAATTTAAACATAAAGGCGTAACTCATTTTTTGTAACTTTACAATAGAGTTATAATGCCAGCGAAACACGACTGCGCCTTATAAATTGTAACATCTTCTTATACCGTGTTTCTTGCAAATCAAAATTTATGTTTTATGATTTACTATGATCCGTAAAAAGTTTTTATTTGACCGATTGGTGAACATTTTCAGTTTTGCTTGATTATAAAGCCGAAACCTAGGCAAACCAAACTTTGTAGTTATTATGTCATAGTTGTCGTGCTAGTAAGTATATTTTATATGTGTGTAGATAAAAAGACTATGAATTCATTTACGCCTATTTTTTAAGTCCCAATTCAAAAGTAAACATAGAAACAAGGTTGCAGTTACGCCCAAATTATTCCTTATGAAAAATAAAATAACAACGAAATAGGAGTACCGAAATAAATTAATAAAACAAAAACATTATAAGAATTAAGGTTTATGTTTATGAATCAAAAATATCAAAAAAATAACAATAGAGATAAACTTTTACAATCATGAAGAAAATAATATTGGATATGCTGCAAATTAAAGTAAAAGATTTAACTTTCATTAATGAAGCAGTCTCTGATAGTAGTCTTTATACTCTTGAAGTCTGACGTAAAAGATCAGCATATTTGGCCTAGCTATTTTTTAAAGTACGAAACCAAGCAAATTACGCCGTTTTTAAATATTTAGCTTCTGTTCTTACTATAATTATAAATTTACGATGTTTCTGTATGATGGCTAGGTTTGAAAAATATTGTAGTAGGGTTTTCTCTGCAAACATGTAGTTCGACCATTCATATCCAGTTAACATCATCATTGCTCTTATCGTTTCGTAGAGAAAGTACTTTCTTTGTATTCTAATGATCGAACAACATATTATGACTAAGGAAATATATTAGATATATATGTCCTCCCTCACAGCCTTCTTCAAAACAGAGGCAATCGCATTGTGTGCCGAATCTCCTTCGGCTTGCCCATGGTTCGGTATAAACAATCGGAGAGATATTTTTTAAGGTTGATAAACTTCAACAAAGCAGAGGCCACTTTCGAGTTTTGTTTTTTTTTATTATAGTCGATGGTCTTTCCTAGAATAGTGGTGTTGGGAAGGCGGGAGGTGCTCTTCAAACTAGGTAAGACACATCATTTTATTTTATTCAGCGGATGGTCGCAAAGTAACTATTAATATCTTTATTAGAATTAAGTGTTTCTGCAGCAGTTCGCATAACTATTTCAACAATAGCCAGTGTTTAATAAGAACTTTTTCACACTCGTACCGACTTATCGTAATTCACGTAAAATTGTAGATTTTATTACGCCTAGAAGACTCTTCTACGTACATTTTTTTTTTTGTATTTGCTTTTTGTATCTGATTAAAAATTCTCGCTGTGGTTGAATATTCCTTATTTCATAAAGTATTTCAGTATCTTTTCTCTATCATAGTATAAACAAAAAAATTCCAACTGAATTTTTGGACAATTATCTATAGTATATCTCGGGTCTACTGATATTTTAGCAACTAACTTTTTTATCGTATTAGTACCAAATTAGTACTCTTATACAACAACAGCACTCTTGCGTAACCACGTTGCTTGATTTTTTAGGTTAAGTCTCTTATGTTTTGGAAGTGAATTCTCGGGCTGAACTGACCATGGTACTGTTGTTTTACGTTCAGTACAAGTAGAAATGTCCTCTTAAAAATGACCAAACCACACTATTATACAGCAACGGAAACACGAATTAAATACTTCTTTTTGGCACTGATTTACCTCGCATGACTGCGGTATATGTATATCATATTACGCTGCTTCTAAATCTGGCTCTTGAAATGGGATATCCACTATTTATGTCATTTCACATATGTTATGTCTATTTCTCATTTTCTTTTATATATATATTCAGTCCAACCAGATGAAACTTCTATATCAAATCCCCAAAATTATAATAATGATGATGATAATGACGTCAGAAATATATAAAGTCAGCAATAATATTAAGGTTAAAATAATTACCATGTAGTCTACACCAACTTTGTTTATTACCTACGTTTAAACGTCTTCACGATACAGGCTTGCTTAGTGCGAAGACTACATTTAAGTCAAGTCGTATACCATCCCGATGCAAAATACAATAATAAACAAAACTTTTTTCTTTATACTCAATAAAAGTCAGTATAACTTCTACTGGTAATAAAAGTACTTAGTGAGCCACTGGCTACAAGCGACTCAAAAGTCAGAAAAAAGTGACAAATAAAAATTTACTCCATTTACCTCTAGCTTTTTTTATTACCAGTATTTTTGAAACTTTAAATTTTCATTTAAAGTCCATCGTTTAAATACTTTCTACATATTACAAAATATATAAGATTAAAATGATCAAACGATATAATTTAAAGTTAATAATAATACTAATGTCATCCAGACCAAATTTCGGTCACGGCGGCCTGCCTCAACGGAGGCTAGCCATCGGCGCAGGACAGGATTATAGTGCCTAAGTGTATGCGCAAGCACAGGTGCACTCTCTCTAATTCCTCACTTTTGTAATCCGATGGGACGGTAAACCGACACGACCGGAGAGAGATCAGGCGCAGGACTAACGGCTTAACGTGCTTTCCGAGGCACGAGGGTGACACCGCCAACTTCCTGACTCCGGGCAGCTACTGAGAATTTCTTGACAGAAAAAATCAAAGGGATTTTTTGGCCCGACCCGGGATACGAACCTACGACCTCATGATCAGCAGTCGCACTAGTACAACCACTAGACCAACGAGGCAGTCAATATATAATAAAGTTAACTGTAAATTGTAGTATATATTGTCGAATTGAGATCCTGTTCCTTTCTGAAATCTTTTACAGTTAAATATACTGTAATATGGACACAATAATGATTAAATGTATATTGTGTGTTCTGTTTTTTCTAAAGTTGTTCAAAACTACTATAAATCAATAGCACGCTACAGGCTATAAACTATAAATTTCTAGCGCGCTATTAAACACGCTATGTTATAGCGCGCTATTTATAAGAAGGCGTGTAGGATGCCGGTAAGCGCGTTAAGTTTTACAGCACGTTATATCTCTTAGCACGTTACATTACATGTTGTTCATTGGATAGATCGCGTGCTATATAAAAACACTATTGCGTAATAAGTCGCATTTTAGACTGAAATAAAATAAAGCGGTAAAGAAAAACCAATGCACGCGTTTTCATACTTTTCAGGCTTACAAATTTCTATAATCCTAAAAATATTTTTAAGTTATGTACTATTTAAAATAGAATAAAATTTTATTTTTAGAATCGAAATAAAATTAATTATTTTTTATTATAGTTGATGTAAACATTATTTTAACCTAAATATAAATTATAAATCAAATAAAGGTGTATTTAAAAGTTTATTTATTGTATTTATAAAAATCAATTATTTACGTACACTATTATATACACTTTTGTATCTATATTTTATTTACATTTAAAAATATTAGTTAGGCTTCTTTTATCACAACTGTGTCCTTTGATCATTTATAAATATACAGTATACACTAACTAAACAACGTCTAACATTAAATTAGGTCGCGCGCGATGAAAAGCGCGCTACGAGATCAAATTTTCGTCACACGTCCTCTCCCAACAGCGCTGCTGCTAGAACTAATTGCCGCTAGATATTAATACTTGATAGGGCCAAAGCGCCATAGCGCAATAGCGCCATGGCGACTACTTACATAACAGGCGCTATGTGTTATGAAGAGATAGCGCGCTATAATATGGCGCTATACGCTATATTAACCACCATTAGTTTATCCACTCATCCAACAGCTTCATACGCACCGATACATTTTGTCTTGTAACATTTATATTCACATCTCACCGTGCTCATGCAACGCCACGAGTAGGATGTATTTATATGAAACAAATATTATAATTTACCCATTCGAAATTATTTATAGTTATTATTACTAAGAGAGGATTTCTTCGGCAGAATAAAGAAAAGTGATATAGCTCAATATCTCTGTAGACTAAAGCTGCATTGGCCTGCCAAACATGATTAATTAAGAAACAAGAACCGATGCGGAAGAAAGTATTTCGAGTGGCAGCCACGTGATGAAAGTCTATACATGCTGGTGGCTCAGGACTGTGCTGAGAAATGCTCAAAGCCAATGCCTATTATAAAAATGCTGGATAGTATCCCAAAATGTCGCCTTACTTCCGGAACGCCTATTTGGTTTGGTCAGATGAAGAATAAAATACAAGTAAAATATCGGTAGAGCTGGGCGTTTAAATCGCAACGTTCTAGAAATCTAAACAACTATCTTGTTCAGGAACCTACAGCTGATACGCTTAGCTTTTACAGCAAACCTACCAATATCAATCGGAAGGACCAACTACCATTAACATAAACGGGAAAAACTCACTCACTTACTCTCTTGTGTTTGCGGAGCTCCACCACAAACTCTTTCTCACAGAGTGGATGACTATCCACTTTGGTGTTTCTCCGGTGGACTGGTTGTGAAACTTAAAATTTAGGTTTAAGCTTTGAATATGAGCAGGATTGCCACAGGAAAGCCTTCTGGTACAACTACTACTACTAGGTCATCAGTGGATTTATAATGGAACCCACATTGCTGATGAAGATTTATGAGTAGAAGTTATAATTAACATAACAAAACCCATTTTGAATAATAACCTCAACACAGAGCATGCGACAATAAAAGTTTTCTGAGGATGATTTTTATAGCAATTACCTTTATAGCATTGAGCCTTTTTTATGCGCTAATACGCCTTCAAGGTAGAGTTCGAAATAGGTTACGTTTAGTATAAAAATAACGACCAAATAAACACCGCTATCATTGCAACCATAAAAATTGAACGATTTAACGGGTCATTTATATAGCAGCGAAGACAAAACCCTTATCTACAGTTGGTAAAGTACAGAAACAATAAGTGAAGTGAAAAAAAAATTATAGACGTTTTTAATTTTTCATTTAAACCGAGTATATGAGTATTTCATCATATACAAGTAATGATAACTGTTCAAACTCGGAATGCACTTTCCAGGAAGTACGACATTAACGTTTTATTATACATTTAAGTTCCGTCACTAACGAGTTTTAGGAAAAAATAATGCAGTAAAGACATTAAATCAGTGTAGGCATTATGCAGTTGAAAATGAGCATTAATCTGTTCCGCAATTAAAACTCGCAAACTATAACCGTAATCGTTCCGTCGTAAGATTTAAATTGCACTCAATACCTCTGTCTGGATCCGATTTAAATTTGCCACAAGATTAAATCGGTAGTGATTGTTCAATTAGGTAAAAAATTTACAACGTCCCAGCAATAAGAATCAGCTGGTCGCAGTGTCAATTCTTATCAAATTAAAATTAATGTATTTTGTACTGCAGTTATAATTTTTAAGTAAATAAAATCGTTTACAAAATACAAACTTAAATTATCTATACTTAATATAATAAAGCGGAAAAGTTTTTTGTTGATTTAAACATGCTAATCTCTGGAAACTACTAGTCCAATTTGAAAAATTATTTTTGTATATTATAGCCAGATTCATGAGAAAAAGTATAGGTTACACCTCTCAGTTAGTTTTAAATATCGATTTTTGTTAAGCAAGTCAGAAGAAAAAGCGCCCACCTGAAAAGCTTTACCCGCGTGCTCTGGCGTAATGGTTAATGATACGTAAACATAATGTTATACAGAAATATACATCTTTACTCCATCTAAAAAAAGTGCACAATACCATATAACCATTTCTTATACATAAGTCATCAATACAACTTTGCTCGTTATAGCATGTTATTTGGACGCATAGTTTAAGAGATAATAAGAAATTAAAATAATTCAACGTTCGGATAGGTATGCGAACGACACTATACACCCTAGCCCCCCGATTAGAATCGAGAGAAACCAGCTGTGAACGCTTCTATGAGCGAAGGTTAGTTCATTAATTTTAACTAAAAATTTCCCAACATATTTTTATCTAATGGCATATGCACGTTATAGAGCGTAGTTAAATTTTATCCACTTTCCCTCCCTCTTCCGGGTGAGCGTCACCCAGTACCCCAGAAAGTGTCCCGAAAAACGGGTTTTCCATTTTAAAGCAAACTGTACACGATCATCGAGTTATATTATGTAGTTCGTACTAGAAAAGCTATTCCAAACAAAAGATGTGCGCTACTCTGTCTTCGCAGGATTACATTTTAATGATATCTTTGGAATATTTTAAAAGGTAACTATGTAAAATATAAAAACATAAATTTATTATTACATTTATTTATAACATTATTATTACATTCTATTTACAAATATTTTTGTTTATAATATTTTATACTCAAAAGATTTAGTCTATGTTTTAGACTATGATTGTAGATGGCATGGCATTTAAATGAAGAAATATTTTTCTATTGTGGTATTACGATATTATTACCTTTTTTTACTTGAACAACAAATAATTTTAGTTAATTTACTACTGAATTGTTATTTACGTCTAAGTTCAAACTTTGATTTGAATTTACGTATTATTAGCGCCACTCCGCGCTGCATTATCGAAGACATACTAAATAACACTAAAGTAAGGTGTACGGATTGCAGTACAGGTCAGTTGAACACAGTGTGTTCGAGATGCAAAATCTAGTATATATTCATGTACACGATACATGAAAAATGTGTATGCGAAATAATCCTTGATAAATTTGCTATCAATCTATTATACATACGAAAGCGATATCACTTATAGTTTCCGCGCAATCAGCCACGAAATATGAACATTCTTTATCATTTACCGATTTTTTTAATCTAAGGTAAAGAACAGATTTTTTTAAAAAGAGGTGCAATTTAGACACCAATCAAGTTTGTAATCACTAGCAAAAGCTGATATATTTTTAAAATGTAGCTTTATTAAGATAAGTGTTTACGTTAAAGGTATCTTTTTTTTTTAATAGAAATACACTATTTGAAGTTAAAAAATAAAACTTTATTTTTATTATTAATAGTTATTAATACAAAACTTGCGTTATTCAATCCCAATGTAATTAAAATTAAAAGAAAAAGAGTGATTAACAAAACTTATATGGAATAATAATCAAAATCTAAATTAATAAAGTTAATTGTCGCAACTATCTATGATATTGTGTTTTATACACACTTTTTTATTGCGTTCCTCAAAATTTGTTTGACAGTATAAGATTTTAAAACATAAATGTTTATAAAAGCTTAAGTGGCGAGTAAATAATATGCCTTTTATACCCTAAACGTTAGCCTTTTAAAAAAACGAACGCCTGTTAAATTAGAAATCCAAATATTCAGCAAATATAATTTATAACATAGATAGCATCTTTCTGTATGCTAAATTATTTGAAAAAAAAAAATTAAATAAAAGAAGTAAAAGCAAACTTTAAAGACGTAAATAATATAATAAAATAAATAATATCAGAATAAAATAATTTTAACTTCTAAAGTCGGAGCTTTAATTCTTTTGTATACTATATCTTAGCAAACGTGTTTTTTTTAATTATCCAAAAAGTTTTATATTTTGAATAACTGACTGGCAGAGAGAAGTTCTCGACAATCTCGTACATTTTGATTGGTTCTTTAAAAACGTTACTTCCAAACTCCTGTATTGTGGGGGCATGCAGGTTTTTTGTAAGTAAGTTTATGATGCCTACGTCAATATTGGACTTGTAATGGGCTTCAATGATAATGATAAAAATGTATTTCAATTCGCTTACCTAGGTCGGAGAGGCTGACTTTTTCCAAAAACGGATCAGCAACCGGCAACTGTAACAAATTAAAATGTTTTATTTTAATTAATTTTTATTTAACTTCTTAAATGAAATAATATTTTTACAACTAGCTTGCTAGCTTTTACAATTTGCTTGTTCATCAACAATAGCCCAAATATTATAATGATGATGATGATGATTTTATGTGAAAAACACATAAAATCATTAATAAACTTCTTAGAATGTAAATTATTTAACAAAAAATAATTAAATATCATAGATCTATTATATTCATGTTATTTTATAATATCTCTGTCATTATGTCTGGCTTAAACAAACGAGAGCCGTGCTAGCTCAGAATGGTTAGCGCTCGCTGTAAATTTCACAGTACGCGAGCAAACCGGGTTCGATCTCTGCCGGCACCAGTGAAATTATTAATGGCAATTTCAAGTGCTGGTCAACGTGCTCGGCGGTGAAGGAAAACATCGTGAAGAAACCTACACGTCTGAGAAATTATAATAGAGAAAATATTTCGAAGACATTTGAAGTTCGACAACACGCATTGGAGCAGCCAGCGCAGCGGACACTTTCTAGCCCTAAACCCTCTTAGAAATGAGGGGAGGCCTGTGCCCAACAGTGGGACGTAAATATATTTTACCTTAAAATTTACTGTAAACGAGCTTAAAGAAAGCCTTCGATTTAGTCAAAGCTTGGGGAATCTCTTCACCGATGCGAATTCATTCTATAAGCTGTGGGTAGGGCATGGTTCGTTATTTATATTGCAAAAAATATTCGTAAATATCTAGAAGACACACCTTAAAATTACGACAAAACACCATGTATAAATACATATGTATGTCTGCAAAATTAAGATTTAACAATACGTTGTTTGTATGAAGTACATTTCGAAAAGACCACTAAAGTTGTTGAATATTCATTTCAACGTAGCATCCATTAAGCATATGATAGGATGGAGACATTATTTTGCAAAAAAAAAAAAGAAAGTGCCTTGGCTGCAACAGCTGCTTATTCTTATAAAACTATGACTGAAATCCTATAAATTCCTGTTGTAACCACAGATATTATTGATTATGTTAATGTTTCAATGAATGGTATCTGAAGTTGCCAACTTTTAATGCGCAGTTTATAGTATCAACTAGGTCGATATAATTGTCGACGTTGTTCGAATTTCAAAACACATTACATTTACAGATCAATGACTCGTTTTTCCTACCAGCGAGTTATTTTTAGTAATTTGAAATTAATGATTAAGATAAAAAAAAACTTTATAAATGTACATTGATAGTCGACGAATGAAGCCATTAAATTTATCAACATCTACGTTAATACGGTAGTAAATTATTCAATAATAACTCATAAGAATATTTCGTATGCACAGTTTTGTTTTATCACACCCGCAAGCGGCGCCGTATTAGACAAGGTGATAATATCCAAAAATAAACAAGTCTAGACTTTTCTATCCCAGCTTTTTGAGATAACATAACAGAAGGGTGTAAGTTGAAATTTACTCTTTCCTTTCTTAAAATGAGCACAGGACACTAACCAAACAGCCCATGCTCACCGAACGTAGTAAATGCAAAGCTAGCTAATATTTAGATTGGACTATATCTAGCAGTGGCTTCAAATAACTGATTAAGATTAAGAAGGTCCAAAAATAATTCATTTAAGCCTCTCTATTATTAAATCGCAGTATTCTCCAGTTATTTTAGTTACCTTTTTCATTGTCTATTAATAAAATTCCAATCGAAATGTTCCATCACCTCTCGATATCGTTTGCTGACGATAATATTATAAATATATGAGACTAATGAATATCAACCTTTACTAAGGGTTGATATTCATTAGTCTGATATATTATGTTTTTATATATTAAGTTTCATTAGTCTGATTGATGATGAAAAGATTAAACTTACTATAAGTTTAATCTTTTTAAAGGTGACAGTTATAGGGAGTTTATTATAATTATTTTATAGCATGATAGCAACGTAGTCGTTAGAAACGAAGAATCGTTAGAACCTTTACTACGTTGTTTGTTTAGTATTTCAGTTTTTTTTTTCGATCTCTTGGTAGAATGTAGCAAAAAATGAGCAAGCTGAAGCTATATAATTATTTTAATTGAAGACCATTTTACGAGGAAAGGGCTCATACACGCAATATAACTTTTTCACTTGTATCAGCGTCTGATGTAAACCTGATGTCAATTCCTTATCAGTTAGTGCCTTCCCGCTGGAAAAGCGCTCTTACATTTATATATACGTACCCGATACAAGGGCTCTCCTCTCCTACTTTTAAAGAAATTTTGTGAAAGCATACGGCTCCACACAGGCAAAGCCCGTGTACGGTGAACGCCAACCTAAACAAAGCACTCCCCGCAATACGGGTAGTTAGGGACTAGACCGTAATCCACGACAAAATAACTTGAGAACCAGTAAAAGAAGCCTTAGCTTCTTGGTAGAGCGTAAGCACCATAGATGTATAAATTGGATTGGCGATGAAGTGATTAGGGCGAAACCAAAATCAAAATACACTAGTGTGCACGTAATGTGTATGTATGGGAGACAAATAGTGATGCACCATGCATTGCCTGCCTCAACTTCAATTATCGATACCGATTGCAGTATATTCGTATCTATTATTCTGATTTGACGCAGATGATGTAACTGAATATTTTTACCCGACTACGGCCCTTTCGCTGGTTTTAGGCTGCATGAAGTGAAAGATAGCAGGTTTTGCGGACATATAAGTACGCCTAAAAATAAAATAAATGTTTGTATCCAATAAAAGTTGTTATTCGGAATGTACTTAACATTCCAAAAATACATGTTATATTTTTTTTAATTATATAAATATTTATCAGATAATGTTTTTTTATAAAACTGAAGTAACCAACTAACTTATTTTCCACCTAATGATAGTAAATGACTATTGCATCTCATGAACACGTGCAGCTAACTTCAAACAAAGACCGTTACGCAGTTGTCACCTCTACGGACAGAGACATAATGCTTCATAGCCAATATTTATACCGGTACAAGGTAAGAGGGTGATACCTACTCGGGTCGGACTCGCACACGAACGGTTCTTTACGAAGAATATTTACCTGATTAAAGAAGAATATAACCATACAAATTAAAGAATATTACGAAGTCGAATAAGGCTGCATGCAAAGCACACCTTTGCCAGTGAGAGACATTTCGATAAAAATGTATCGATAAAGTCAATCTCTAAAAAGTGAGTGTTTAGATTAGCAGGATTTCACGTATTTGTGATTATTTTAAATTTAATTTCAACACGTTCAATTTAGTCAATGATGTGGACACAGTTAATGGTGTTGGTGTTTGTTGATCGAATACTTATTAAGCTAAGATAATAACAAGGTTTTATGTACTAATTGTAACCGGTTTAATCTTTATGAACGATAAAATACCAAATTTTGGGATATTTTCCAAAAACGTAATTTTCACGATAAATAGAAATTCTAAGGCATTAGGTTAGTGAGGCTTCCTTAAGGCTTAGCATCGACCTTCTGAACAACCTGTACCTATTTAGATGCTGAGATTTTTCAAATACAACCGAAATTTGTTTTGTTCACGTATGACGCCACTCCGATACAGGCGTGTACGTGAACGGTCTCGCCTAACTTTATAGCTCTAACGTACGCTTTTGCAGTGCCAATCTATTCTAACGTCAGTTTATACTAAATCTATGGTAACCACAAACATTGACCGAAATCGTGCATGTCGATGCGAGTAAATGCCATATAGAATACAATCAAATCCAGCTCCTACAATAAATGTACGCCATAACCGTTTACACAAGCCATAAAATCTCTCCATGAGCGCCACCACCTGCCAGACCACCGATTCTACAGACTTAGGAATAAGGCATCACCAACAAGTGCATAGTCAGCACTTTTACCTGAAATGTGTCTGCGTCCACTATTTGCTAGAGATGCCAAAAATAATATTCGGCTTCGATTCGGTATTCAGTAGAACAAATATATTATATTCATTTTTGAGTCCTACCTATTACTCGAAAATTAATAATATTTTATTAGTCATGCGATATTTTTTATCAATATATATACTTATACACACTTTTAGTAACACATTTCTCGTAACAATAAACGAATAATGCGAGTCGTGACTCGAGACTCGTGAAACGATTAACTCGTAAATGAAACAAATACGCCCCCCGACTTGCGCTGCCACCGCACCGCACACTACAATGAGACAGGTCGTGGCGAGTTCAAATATTAAGTCGTCTCCCGCTACCACACTGCATGAGGCTTACTCAAAAACAATCAAAACCGTTAAATATACAAAAGGGCAACGTGACTTTTCATCCCTTAATACTTTTAACATAATACTATCGTTAAAACTCGTATTTTCTGAATATTTTCGTAAAATACCAAGTGTTGTCAGCATAGTTCATGAAGAGAAAACTAATCGATTTTAAAATAAATATAATTTACTACACAAAATAAATATATTAACGAAAATTTATTTTATATCAACTATATCACTTTGTGATTAATAATATAATAATTACATTAAGATGTGTCAATCCCAACACGATTCTGAATATAATTTAATATATTCGATAACCAGTCTTTATTAAAATATTATACAAAATAAAAACTTGCCACTTCGTAGCAAATGTATGCAATTTTTGTAAAATTAACTGGTATCACTGCAATCTCAAGTACTGCAATGTAGTGATGTACGCCACAACTTTAGCTATCGATGAACCATTTAACCCATTTGGGTTTTTATTTTTTGTTTAGATTTTATAATAAAGTATTGCAAATAGTAGTAAATTTTTCTATTATTGGTTTAATAATAATAAACAAATAAAAATAGTTTATTAAGTAAATGATCATACATAAATTATAACTAAGGTCATCCCCTTCAAGTTTTTATACTTAAAAGGAGACCTCAATTTCTCCTTTTAAGCATAAAATCTTGTGTTTGGAGACTCCACTCCTCCATAGTTCTTACTATTTGCATGATATTTACATAATAATTAACTATAAAAATTAAAATTAAAAACTAATAATAATCATGCGAAGTTTAATTTGGAAATTAATATTAGGCTTAGTTCGAATATAATTTGTAAAACGATTTTTATTTATTTCCGAAAATAAAAGAAAAACTTCGAGGAAAACGTTTTATGGACGCCGAGGAATCAATGGCTGCGTTTCAAAATGCCGTCGAAGAGACCCCTAAGGACGAATGGGCAAAGTACTTTTCTCAGTGGTTTCATCGGACGCAGCGATGTATTGATGTCAATGGACACTATTTTGAAAAGATATAATAAAACTAATAACTTGCTAGTTTGTTCAGTTCTTGATTTTCTAAGAACATTCAGTGTCACCCTCGTATTCTGTGAGAGCTTGTGGTCCCGGTACGAGGGTACAGCAATATCGACTTTCGACCTTCTTTTATTGATAACTTGGGGTATGAAATATGATTTAACAAAATGATGAATGAATGACGGAGCAAATGGTGCTAGTCCGTTTTGGTATTCAAGATTCATGATTTCTACAAGCTGTAATCCAAGTCTGCCGCTTAAGAGGATCTCTTTGAAATATGTGAAATTAATCCTTGTGCACAGGCTTGAGGATATAAGAGGTACTCACTTAGATTTATTTAAAGACTATCTTAAGGATCCCAAGCAGAAAGTAAAGATAGGTAAATACTTAAGCGATGAATCAGATATAACATTCGGAATTTCACAGGGCAGTATCCTGGGTCCTACTTTGTTTTTAATCTACATAAATAATCTAACTAACATGGAAATTAACGAGGGCAACATAATCTCCTATGCAGATGATACTGCAATAATATTTACTGGTGACTCCTGGGATTCTGTTCGTAGATCTGCTGAAGAAGGCCTTGCTAAGATCGCTAAGTGGCGAAACACTAAACTACTTACTTTAAATACTTTGAAAACTAGTTATACATATATGTTTTACAAATTATATTAAAATCCTGCCTAATATGAATTTCCAAATTATGACTATGATATGATAAAGGAAAAATCCGACAGATATCGATTTGTAATTATATCACAAATAAAATATAATTTTTTGCGATTACGAACTTATATTTGGAGCATCGACCGTGATGTAGATCATTGTATGTGAAAATATTTTTGTCCACTGTAAAGTTAAGTTTGTACTTCATTCCGGCTTACGTTAGTGAGAACAATGTTCGGTACACTTAACTTACCCCTAATACCGGGATGGATGAACTATCTATATACATATTAAGTTTATACGGATCTCTAGGGGCGAAAGCACTACTTGCACTTGTTCTTGTTTTTATTCATCGATTGCATACCTTTAACGCCAATTCTATTTTACATTATTACATTGCAATACATTATGATTATTCTAATAAAAATATTTGTCCCATGATAGGTAAGAAAACACCTAAACATATTTTTTCAATTTTATTTATCAAGTTTACATAAACAGGATAAATCGTTTTAGCTTGGTGTTATGCCCTCTGAATATATTTTTCTTTACCCTTTAAAATGGGAGATAATAAACCAAAACCATTATAATAATAATGTATAGCCAATATAGATACGTCCTATAGCCAACTATCAGGTAAATTAACAAACGAAACGAACATACAGAACGTTTATTAGCTTTTTTATATGAGAATTTTTAACAATAAGATTAAGAAATTATTTTATGAGTAACCAAATAAGTGTTGAAATAAGCCTATTGTTAAACAAATTAAGGCGCATAATGTTGTAAAATCAAATCAAAACTAACTTACTCCTCTAGAGTCCCGAAACAATATCGCAGCATGATGTGGATCGAGAAAAGCATCCGAAGCGCGATGACGTGCCGTGGACACATTACCAAGCGAAGAACGCCGCTTTTCTGCTTCTTGAGATGCGGCCCGACGTAAATATGCTCCTGCCGACAAAACAACTTTCAGTAAAATTTCAATAGTCAAGAGTCTCTTCCACCGCGTAATCGCGATTTAAGAATATCCAATACCCCCATGTCGAGCCGTTGGTGTCGTAAGAAGTAATGGAGGGAAACTGAGACAGGAGATGGGAAGCAGCGTCTTCCTGATAACAACCCAAAATAATAATACGGTAAGATTCCTATGAGGCAATGTATGGGTTTACGTTCAGCGCAGTGGGCAGATGAGTAGATGGATTGGATGAAGTAAGCCAAATGTCTACATTTTCCATCATTGTTTATAAATAATTATATTGACGCCGCAGTAAACAAAAGTTAAAAGTGTCTTAATTTTTGGTAATTCTTTTCTCTTATTCACCAGACTGCATCTTATTGCATTTAAAGTAAAACTCTTTCGATTATCTAAAAATACTATGAGTATGACATTTTTTGTTATTTTGGTTTATAAGTTCGTACTTACTAAATGAAATAAATATAATGCGGTTGTCGCAGCCGACTAGCTTAATTAGGCCTTCAATTAACAGCCTCGCATTTTTACTAAACGACACCGCTCAACAAGCTGCTTAAACGATATTCGGCGATGCGTCTAACGCTCGTACAACATTGCATCTATCTAGTAATATAAGCGAGGTGCAGCTGGGGTGACCTTTGGGCCCCCTCAAAGCCGCGTGCATTTATATAATATAGTACATAGGACCACGGTAATTTTATCTATACAGTATTCCAACTCCATACAAACGGACGAAGAGAGAGCTATGCCTACGCGCCTCGTTCTCGGCATGCGCTCGGCATGCAGACAGTCGTGACTGTGCCGCAGGCATGTTTTGTGGAATATATAAAGAAATTGAGGAAATAAATAATAGAATAGAAATAAATAAATAATAAATCCGAACTTCATTTAAAACCAAACATATAAATTGTAATTAATTAAAAAATTGTAACCAAGTAAAAGATATTCCTTTTCTCCATTTTGTCCAAGTTTCCCAAAACAATTTTAATTAAGCTTTATATTAGAATGCGGATTTTTTATACTTAAAATTTTAATAATAAAGCATTTCGTACGTCTCAGGCGGGGCGCAAATATTTTTCGGTCGTAAATTTATAAGACTGATTTGTTATTCAAACATAAACGTGGTTTTTTAATTAAATCTACCAATCAAAAAACGACACGCATTTTTATTGAACACTTCCTATTCAATACACAAAGTACCTATTATATTTGTTTATATAAAAAAAGTATATTTACAATCACAAAACTAAATGGAAACACAAAGCAGGCAAATGTAATTAAAATGCTGGAGGCAGGCAGCCCTATCGCATGTTTACGTACGGCGCGGCTGTAGACATTTATTTCAAAGATACGGCCGAGTTACCATACTGTATAGATATTATTACCGTGATAGGACATAATTAGGAACAGACGAGTGAATTGACATGAGTTCTGACGTCATTTTTTTAATTATATGCAATGAATTAATTTTTATAATTAGAAATGTTTTCCTGCATTTGGAGAAATTAAAATTTGAAATTAACATGTAGTGTTTATGTTATACAATACGCACAAATGATTAACAACAAATTTTTTCCGATACAGATTAATCATTCGTTAATTTCCTCATTGATTTAAATGATATATGGACCTATGTTAGAATCGTCTACTATCGCTTACTTAAATAAAGTATTAATTAATTCTATACCTGTTTCCGGAAACGGAACTATAATAGGATCACCTTGGTGTCGGTAAGTTTTTCCGTCTTTCCATCAATCATACTCGTTAGCAAAATATAAAAATCCTAAAATTATTAATTTGTAGTTGTAACACACAGCTTTTTTTTTTGCAATGTTAAAAGTACATATGCAATTGGAGCATTGAACATATTGTTAAACTCTGTACAAAACTTTCAACAACAAAACTGTGTAAATATTTAATTTACTGCAATTTTATGTTTGTTCTCCAAATCGATTTACTTTTTCGTAAGAGCAATGTTCAGTGCTTATTTCACCTACCATTCTTAAGATGGATATACATACATACACTAAGCAAATAGATACATAACTAAGTTAAAATGGTCACGTATGCAAACAACATAATCTCGGCATACTGGTTGGTTTTTCATTCAAGATATGGCAGCTACTCGCATGGGCTTACAAGCTGCACATGAAGCACATGAAACTGGACTTAGCGAACATGTAATAACAAAACTATCATGCAAAGAACTGTAAGGAGCGTATACCCAGACAGTTCGTTCTCAGTTTGTTGTGCTAATTTTTCACATCACCTTTACTGCTAAGTAACATACAGAAAAGAAATTTGAAAATCAGCAACTGGAACAGCATCAAACTGTTCGAGAGAAAAGAGTAGACAAATATCCATTGCTTGATGTGAAATCATGCAAGAAAGAAGCTAGAGGATTTTATGACTACAGATTTGATCGAAATGACGGAATTCGTGCCATGCGTTGGGTGAGGTGACAATAACGTGGTGACTTTGTTGTCAAATGATTCGAAAAGATAGTTGGCAGAACTCAAAAGAAGAAACGAAATCGATCAACTCAATGTGGTCGCGCAATACACGCAACACACAAGATGCATCACCAAAGATCATTGTACTTGCCACGGAAACATGGTGGGGCGTGGCTTTTTAAGCGCTCTCACCATGCATAAACGAGAAATGTGAAGCCTCCGTAATTATTTCCTGGCGAGATCGGGTGATCCATTTTACAGGGACGACATTTCGTGTGATAAAGGGCTAACCCCTCTATCCTTAGCCAACGAGCAATGGCAGGACCCAGCAGTACATAGCATTTCCGACCGGGAGACCGTACGGAAGGATAAGGAGCTCCACGGGAGGTACTACAGGGCTCTACATGAGCCCTTCGTAGATACAGTTGCCTCCCTCCACTGGTTACGCTTTGGTGACCTCTTCGGGGAAACCGAGGCTTTTGTCTGTGCAATACAGGATCAGGTTATTAAGACCAACAACTATCGGAGATACATCCTAAAGGATGGCACCGTCTACATCTGTCGAGCTAATCGCCATCCCGGTGAGTCACTTAGGCATGTCATCTCTGGTAGTTCGGCGCTTTGTAACTCTTAATTACTTGCACAGGCACAACCTAATAGCCAGGATTCCACAGCTGGAGCTCGCTCAGAAATACGGTCTTGTGGGACTGGGCCATTATCACGGTCAGGACTATTCTTACTAACAAATCTAATATTGTGCTGATGGACCTGGCACAGTCAAAGATATTTTTGGTCCACATTGCCATTCCGTATGACGAGAACCTCGTGAAAGCCGAATCAGATAACAAAACAAAATATCTAGACCTGGCCCACGAGGTGACCGACATGTGGGGTCTGCCGACCGAAACTATCTCTCTCGTCTCTGCGAATGGCCTGATCCCGGTCAGCCGCTCGGATCATCTGAGGCGACTAGGACTCCGGACCGCTCCGGGCTCAAATGCAGAAGGTGGTGCTCCTCGATACCGCCCGCATCGGCCGCCGGTTTCTTTCCTTTTCCTCCTAACCCTCGGCCGTTTGGTCTCCCCTGCCGAGGGCTTCCATCTGGTTGGACATTTATTTATTTATTTATGTTAGTACATTTAATATATACTTATGTGTATTTATTATTTCCTTTTATATTTATTCAGCCAAATACCCCAAGTAATAATAATAATATTTATTTCAGATATACATATCCATACACATCTCCTTTGGATGTAAGCGAGCTGTTTTTTTTCTTTTTTAACTTTTTGATTAGAAGCAAATTGTAAATGAATGTAATAAATACGTTTTATTACTTGATTAACACTTTTTTTTACTAATCTTATTTTATGCTCAAGATTCAAGTAGTGTCCAAACTAATGAAAAAGTAAATTGGATTGGCAATCGTAATTCAACGTTATTTTACCGAAGATAGGTTACAGTCATTAATTATGTAGTTACGTATATAAGCATTTATTTGTCGTTTGTGCTGAGCAACATATTATAGCTAATATTATTGATAATATTTGTAAGGGTGTATTTAATTATAAATTGCTATTTTAAAATAGTAAATTTCTGAGGTTTATTACGTAGTAATATCGATTTTCGCCTATTGAACCTCATTAATATGCCATCAAAAATATTATCAAGACACTGGGACCTACTTCGCCATTCGAATTAGGCCAAAAACTTGACATCGTGTTAGCAACGCTTGGTCTCTGACATGACATTACGAACAATAAAATTACTTGTTGTAATGCACAAGCGCTAATCTTTGTTTTTACCGGCCACATGAAGGGCGCGGTCAACGGCATAAAATTCCTGGCAGTAATATTATCGTATGATGGTGGTAAATATAGCGCATAGCGCCATATTATATATGATAGACACAGAGAACAAGGTGATGGCTTTTTCCGCTTCCCTGCATCTGCTTCACCCTCGAAACATACATATCACATAATCACGATAACACTGCACCCTACTGAATTAAATAGGTAATATACTATATTAAATTTTAAATAAAAACAAAATTGAAGAAAAAACTGGAACAAAAATGAAGGCCGTTCGGTAGGTTGAAATAATTAATTACGTGAAATTAAAATTATTCTCCTAATTCTTTGACTTTGTAAATTAAAATCGCGATTTTCAAACTTTATTTGTAGTGTAGTTACAAAATAAGGTTCACGGACCGGAAAATAATCACGCGAAAGAATGTTCGCTTTTCTTTTTTAGTAATATTTTTAATAGTTAAGGCGCTGCTACTATCGAACGACCTTGAGCGTTCGGTTCCATACATTTTACCGGCTCTCGCTAAAATAAATCACGTAAGAAATACGCCCAAATTTTAAAATATTTTCTTTATGAAATCGAATTTTAGTCCTTTGAAAAAAATTAAAGTGATCAAAATGTTTATTTATTAATAAATTGCTTATTGATTAGTGTCAATCGCAAAATAAAATAATGCTTACTTTATGAGGAGCTGCAGGTTATCAATAATTATTTCT